TCTCTTACTGGAAACATCATCCCTTCCAAATGTCATATGCCTGCTTCTCATGAAAAGGAAGAGACTGCATTGTGGGCTGAGTCACCTCCAGCATCCCTGCAGTTCTCTGTGGTCACACTGGAAAGCACAGGGCCTTGCAGTCTCCCGTGGGTCCCCTGTGCTGCCCCACACCTCCCCTGTGAGACTTGGTAATGCTGTCTTAAGTACACTTCTTATACTCTGCAGCCAAGTCAGGTCTCTCCTGGAGAAGGGAACTCCCTCCACAGCTGGTCCAGGACTTGCTCCCTCAGCAGTGCCCGCTGCAGCTCTACAGTCCGACCAGCAGCTTCACCTTCCCTCTCTCCCCACCTTCCTTTCCCCTGAGGTACAGACTTACAGAGGCGGTCCCCCAAGAAAAGCTCATTTTCCTGCTTCCCCTGATCCCCTTCCTTCTTCCTCTAGCCTTAGTAAGTTATCACTGCTCCTGGTGTGGGGAAGGCACTGCTTAGCAGAGTCTGGGCTTCCAGAGTGCAGCGTGGTCAGAGCCCCCACATACTCCACACAAGTGTGAGCTGTCATTGACTTTCCTTCCCTTCTAGGCTGTAGCCTTGCTTTCTTTCCAACTCAAAAAGGCTGTTGGCCTCATAAAGAGAAAACAGGTTAAAGGATTTGCTCCTCGCCCTTTGCAAGTGGAGCTGCTGGGGGAGAGACGCCCTCCATGCAGTGGAAACCAATATACACGTGACGCCCATGAGCACTGGCAATGAGAGCAGACGTGCGAAGAGCAGCCATTACTGCAGTGGCGTGACAAGCTTATCAAAACAGAAATCTTTTAATATATGCCTCATAATCGCCAGACTCCGCTTTTGAAGGCTTATTAAAGTGATCCTTTCAGATCTCCTGACTTGGAGGCTCGCACTCAGAATTAGTAGGATATGAATTAATGACAGTTTATTACTCTCAGATGAGCTGAGCTTAAGGAGCTTCCTGTAAATGTGTGGGCTTTGATTTGACTTGTCAGAGCTCTGATGTGAAAACAAAGGAAGGTGTCTCTCCTCCCTGAACTGCGCCGCCGCCGCTGCTGCTGCTGCTGCAGACGTGGGCAGTCTCCTGGTCTATATAAGGATGGCGGGTCCAGGCTTCCAGCTTGTTAACTCCGATAAAGCTGGGACATCGTTAAAGCAGGGTGTGTGACTTGATGAACTGAAGCTGGGGTCAGACGTGCAGCTCAGCCAGCCACCCCGTCTTGTCTCATTCCGCCCTGCAGAGCCAGGCCAGTGTCCATCTGATGATGGGCTCACTCATCGCCATCATCACCACACCACCGAGAGGAATTCTCCTGCGCCCCCGACAAAGGGAGGGTCATGCGGCATTCGCACAGAGCCCCCAGCAGAGCCCGTGTGCATGGCCCCTGCCTCTGAGAAGGGCTCAGGACCAGGAAAGTTCTGGAAAGTCAGGAGGGCCCTAAAGCAGCCCGTGGCATCCTTGTTCTCATCCTCAGCTCTTAAGCTCCAGTCTGGGTTCCTTTAGGGCCTCTGAGCCAGAACAGCTTTTGGGAGCTGGTGAGAAGGAGGCCATCACTCTGGGCACAGGTTCCAGCAGACCTGACCGTCTCCATGTAGACATCTCCCTGGGCACAGGTTCCAGGAGACCTGACCATCTCTCTCCATGTAGACATCTCCCTGAGCACAGGTTCCAGGAGACCTGACCGTCTCCATGTAGACATCTCCCTGGGCACAGGTTCCAGGAGACCTGACCGTCTCTCTTCGTGTATACGAATGCCGTGCTTCGTTTCCCGGCTGTCCAGACCTGGATAACCGCACAGAGACTGTATTAATTACAACACTGCTTGGCCAATGGCTTACGCATATTGCTGACTTGCTCATATCTTAAATTAACCCATTTCTATTATTCTGTGTATCACCACGGGGCTGTGGCCTGCCGGTAAGGTTCCTAAGGTTCCGGCGTGTCCTCTTGTGGCAGCCACATGGGCGTCCCTTTGACTCCACCTACTCTCTCTATATCTCTTCTAGCCTGGCTATATTCTGCCCTGCCATAGACTGAAGCAGTGTTTTTATTAACCGACGGTAATAAAACATTCACAGCATACAGAGGGGCATCCCACATCACCTCCGTGATTACCCTACATTCCTGGGCCACACGACTCTGAACTATTTCACCTTGCATCACTCAAGCACAGAATTCTAAGTAAGCTGTGCCTTACCGAGAGGATGCAGAGCCTGACCTAAAACCATTCCATCTCTTCTTTCTTACTCCTGGTGCCTCCCACAACATCCTCCTCAACTTCTGAATGTCTAAGTCCAGATCATGTTTCCATGAAGAACCCGAACCCCCAAATCAACCAGCCTAGTGAGAATTAGGGCCAGCTTCAGAGCTGAGGCCATGCCCTCCACGGTCCCCATGGTGGTCACACCCATGCCATGAACTGCTAAGGCCTTGCCCTCCTTACTCACCTCGAGGAGCTTTTGTACCACCAGTACCCACATGAACTCACCTCTGCTCGAGTTCCAGGCTTCTGTGTTTGTCTTCCCGAGCGGTTCTGCCTGTGTCTGCATCTCCAGTGCGGCACACTCCATCGTGCACCCCTGCCCTCCTGTCCCCTCCGTCCCCTCCGTCCCCTTCGTCCCCTTCAATGCATTTCTTTTTTTTTTTCTTTTTTGGTTTTTCGAGACAGGGTTTCTCTATGGTTTTGGAGCCTGTCCTGGAACTAGCTCTTGTAGACCAGGCTGGTCTCGAACTCACAGAGATCTGCCTGCCTCGGCCTCCCGAGTGCTGGGATTAAAGGCGTGCGCCACCACCGCCCGGCCCTTCAATGCATTTCTTAGGTCTCTGGGATGTCCCCATCCATCCTTCTGTCTGTGCTGCGCGTGGTCCCACCTCTGCCCCAACCAATACAGCCTGTAGAGGGAGGGGTTAGGAGGGGTCGCGGCAACAGGAGCAGTCAGGAAGCAGAGAAGGGGCAGAGTGCTGCTGCTGAGCTCACGTCCTTCTTAAGTGACCCAGGACCCCAGTCCGTGGAGTGGTCCCACACGCATTAGGGAAGCCCCAGGACCCCAGTCCATGGAGTGGCCCCACACGTGTTAGGGGAGCTCCAGGACCCCAGTCCATGGAGTGACCCCCACACACGTTAGGGAAGCCCCAGTCTGTGAAATAGCCCCACACACGTTAGGGAAGGGTCTTCCTACCTCAGTTGGCCCAACTGTGAACTCCGTTGAAGACCTGCCCAGAGGTTTGTACATATATAGTTCTAAGTCCTGTCGGGTTATCAGTATTAACAGTGTTGCTGGCCGCTGACCTTGGACCTGTGATCTGGCAACACTGTCCCTTGCTCAGCTTCTGCTGGCTCTTCAGTGCCTCCTGTCACCTGGTCTCCTACCTCTTCTTACTCACATTCTAGGACTGGCCTTAGTTCCCCTTCTATTCCTCCTTCCTCCCCATCTTTCCCTCTCCCTTTCTCCTCCCTAATTCTGCTTGACTGCCCTCCAGGAAGCATCACCCTCCTGCTTCCTGTGGCTTCTCAGGTGCTGGCAGCAGATACCGCTGTCTGCCCCAGCAGCAGGCAGCAGGGCTTGACTGACTGTCTCTAGAACAGAGCCATTGTCGGTGTGCTCAAGTGTGTGGCACGCGGTGACCACAAGATGGAATTGTGTTCGCAGGAAGGAGTAGCTGAGTTAGAAAAGACTGCATAACCGGTGGCTTCTTACGTTAGTCCTTGAGTCTTAGAGCTCTTTCTTTGCTTAGGAACGGGGGTCTCTACGAGGCTCAATTAACATATTGTATGGCATGAATCCGTCAGAAACCCCAAAAGCTTCAGCAGGTACTAGCACTACAGAAAGGACTGCTGTCGAGTATCCTCATGTGGAAAGCAAGAGGAGGGGAACCTGAGATGAAGCAGAGAAACTTGAGAGGAAGAGAACAGTCTGAGACAGGAGAGGAAGAGGGCAGTCAGGAAGGAAAGAAGGCAGGCATGCCCTGACAGGAGGTGAGCCTGAGAGGAAGGAGTCTGAGGCCAGGCAGGGGGTGTCTGAGATGAGGGGAGGAACGTGAGAAGAAGTGGGGGACAAAGGATCTCAGCAAAAACTGGAACCCAAAAGACCAAGAGCTCCAGGTGGGCGTCCACTCTGTCACCTGCAGTGTTGCACACTCGTACACTCTTAAAGTCAGTTGTGCAAGCGAAACACTCAAATACATAAAAATAGAAAAATAAATTAAAAACTGCCCAAATATCTTCATTTCTGCCAGGCTGGGGAACCTGGGCAGAAGCAGAAGTCTGGGGGGAGGGAGTCCAGACTGAGCGCAGAGGGAGGAGGACAGGGTGCAGAGCACATCCCTAACACAGCCACCAGCAGCGGTAGCAGAAGGTGCTTTTCAGGGTGGTGGTTTGCTTTCTTCTTCGGAGAAGTCCAGCCTTTTCCCCAAGGGCAACAACTGTGAAGGTCAAATTTGAACTAAACTAAAATCACCGCTCTTATGCCCTCTCCATGACCCCCATAGTTCTCCATGTTCCCCCAAGTTCCCAAAACGAGTTGAACTCCTCCCTGGGTATGACTGATGAGGGTATGATTGATGACAGCCACTAACCACATGATTAGTGACAGCTACTAACCACATGCCTCAACCTCACCATAACCAGTCAGGTTAAATGTCAGCTACCTCAAGACCCTCTGACAAGGCCATGACCCACTTGTGGTTTTCCCTCTCCAAACTCTAACCTGTAAATGCTCAGTGCCGCTCTCCTCCACCCGTGGACTGAGCTTGGGCGAGTAGTAAACCCCTTGTGTTTGCATCAAAGACCGGCTCTGTGGTAGTCTTGTTTGGGGGTCTGGTGACATGGGCACAACACAGGCAGAGCTTTTTCCCGAGTGAAAACTGAAGTTACAAGGAAAGGTACATAATAATGTCTTCCCAGCATATTTGCACACCCTGCTTCGTAAGACGCCATGACACATCCCGCCAGTTCCTGTACTCACGGCCTCTCTTCTGTCTCCTTTTCCCTCCAGTCATGCCAGGCCGACCTCGTGAAGGACAACGGTCACAAGTACTTCCTTTCCGTCTTGGCAGACCCATACATGCCAGTAAGGACTGAGCCATACTTCCCTCAGGCAGCATGGGATTTGTCTCCGCTTGCACACTGTGGGTTACAGTTCCTCTCTGAGGGCCAGGTGCTCTACACGGTTACACGTGAATGGCCACTTAGTGCGCACATGGCACACTGCTCCATTTCCTCCTGCCTCAAGTGAAAATGTGGTCTTCCTGCGACAGTCGGTCTCTGCCCAGCAGTGGCATCTCCATTACCTAGAGCCTGCATCCTGAATAGACGGACAGATGGATGAATAGCTGTTATGTCTGTGATATGGTGCCTCAGGTGCCCTGAAGGTCCCTTAATGGGACAAGATTTACTAAATCTTGTCCCATTACTAAATGGGACATTGCTTTACTGAAGGAAAGAAGAAATTGTTTGAAAGTTTGAATTTTATACATACTTTTTATTAAATTGTTTAAAAGTAGATAGCATGAATAGGACATAAGTAGTTTTCTCATGATATTTTACTATCAGTTTCTTTAGCCTCCCTCTGGCTGCTCAGCACAGCCATGTAGACAGAGCAGCCGTGCACAGTCGCTCCTTCATGCGCCCTCTTCCCAGAGTGTGCGTGCAGCGCCACGTCTGCACTCAGGTGATGCCTCTGAGAGGAACTTGCGTGTCTGAATTCTTCCTCTGGCTGTTTTAACTCACCTCCAGCACAGAGCTGAGGACTCCAGGGAAGGGGAAGAGCGCTGAGGATGGCTGGATAGGGCAGTTTCTTTACTCATGCCCATTAGCCAGTTTGTTTTCTTCAGAAACAGCTTTCTGCTGCTTCAAGAAAACACTGCCTTTACCTGTCCTGAAATAAACAGGCAGATCTTGGGGAAGCACAGAGGAGAAGAGCCCCTCCCCCGGGAGAAAACACTGGAGGTGTTGACTCAGGGCAGGCACCACCAGGAGAGAAAGAAGCAAAGACGGAAATGGGGGGGGGGGGGGAGGCTGCTCTTGCTGACGTCATCCCAGAGTGCTGCAGGGGGAGGAGGGCAGAGTCTGAACAAACTGGAGCTTGGAGACCTGAAGAAAGAAATGAACAGCGAGCCCTTCCCAGACACAGCACAGTCAAAGTAACGAGAGTACCAGGATCATAAGGAAAACCCCCAAAGCCACCAGAACCCAGAAACGGCAGACAGCAGCTGCAGTGATGGCAAAGGATTGTGTGTGGCCCTTCCAGCACCTGCTGCATGGAGTTCCCTGCTAAGTTATGCTGTATGGGGAAGGGGAAGTACAGACACTTTATAACAAAGAATGATGGCTTGGCACTCTAGCACCTGGAAGGTAGTGGCCTGGTCTCTGTTACAGTGAACTCAGACGTTGCCATAGGAAAGCAGCAACAAGCAAGGGCAATGGCCAGAATGCTGGTGCTGCCAAGGTAACCGTTAATTAGAAGGGCTAGAGGTAAGAAGGGATGTTGGGTGAAGAGACTCCAAGAGCCTGGCAGCAGTCCCAGAGGAATTCGGGATTAGACTCTCGATGTGCATGTGAAAAGGTGAGGCACCGTGAAGAAGTCTTACAGGCTATTGATCTGTCCAGTAGGAGACCAGAATTGAAGCAAAGATTGCTACATTCAGCCAGGTGTGATGGCGCACACCTTTAATCCCAGCACTCGGAGGTAGAGGCAGGCGGATCTCTATGTGTTCAAGGCCAGCCTGGCCTACAAATTGAGCTTCACGACAGCCAGAGTTGTTATACAGAGAAACCCAGTCTTGCAAAACCAAAAAAGAAAAGAGTAGACAGCATGAAGATGGACCTTTCAGACCAATGAGCACCACCAACCATGTTAACTGCTGTGACAGAGGACAGTAGAGCGACCTGGGCGTGTTCTGTGGCATTAGCTTCCAAGGGAGAAGCCAGTCTGTCCTCAGCACAAAGGCCAGTGCATGCTGCAGACGGCAGGTGCGCAGTCCTTGGAGACAGGTGAGTCTCTGGGAAGGGGCACAACCATGGTGCATTTTGTTTTCCAGGCTGAACATAGGACCATGACGGCCTTCATTCTTGCTGTAATCGTCAACAGCTACACAACAGGGCAAGTAAGTGTCATAGCAGCTCCAGCCTAAGCTCCAGGAATGGCAGAAACGTGACTTGTCTCAAACGTATTCTGGCGCAGGGGGCCAGCACTTTGTTTAATCTGAATGAGACAATGTAGTGTAGTGTGGTTGAGCCCCAGACCTGGGTAAGAGGGCAGAGGACCACTTCTCTGTGTCCTGTGTCCAGGAAGCCTGCCTGCAGGGGAACCTGATCGCCATCTGCCTGGAGCAACTCAGTGACCCACACCCCTTACTGCGCCAGTGGGTGGCCATTTGCCTGGGAAGGATCTGGCAGAATTTCGACTCTGCGAGGTGGTGTGGGGTGAGAGACAGCGCTCACGAGAAGCTCTACAGCCTCCTCTCCGACCCCATCCCTGAGGTAAGCTGTCCTTGAGAAAAGTAGCTTCCAAGTTGGGTCAAAGTACGTACGATACGTGCTCTACACCTAGTCCTCCAGGGTTCTGTTTGTAAAGAGGTCATGTAGGACCGGTGTGCAGAAGTCTGCACCCAGAATCTCTAGGGCCATGCACAGATTCCCAAGATAGGCTATTGAGATCTTGCTACAGAGGCACACATTTAACTTTTCATTCATAGTGAGCCAACTCTGTATGCAGTAGGGTATCTCTGCAAGCTGGCACAGCCTCACCTAGGTCTAAGAGAAAAACATGAACCATTCTGTACTGCACATCCTGTGGACCTGGGCAGAGAGACAGACAGACATACCAGTCAGGGCCTTGTGCCTCATGGTTTGGCGCAAGCTAAAGAAGGTGTTGGCACTGCCTTTTCCCTACAGACCAAGACCGTCTGCTGCCAGTTCAGTGTCCAATATGTTCTGGACTCTCCGGCCCCAGTGAGCACCCACCCACCTCCTTGCTTGCTGAGCCAGCTTAGAGCCTATAAGGGTCCCAGGTGCAGGTATCTGAGCCCTGGCTCCTACAAGTGTCTTCACATCTGGGGGTTGAGGTTTGAACCTAGCAGCCTGGTGCCGCATTGCTATGGCCACTCATCCCACAACCCCATGTTCAAACTTTCTGGAAGGGTGCTCAGGGAAGTGTATTTACTTATTTTCCAAGTTGTTCTCAAAAGGGTTTAAGGACACCAAGCATAAAAATTTAGAGAACAGGGACTGGAGAGATGGCTCAGCGGTTAAGAGCATTGCCTGCTCTTCCAAAGGTCCTGAGTTCAATTCCCAGCAACCACGTGGTGGCTCACAACCATCTGTAATGAGGTCTGGTGCCCTCTTCTGGCCTGCAGGCATACACACAGACAGAACATTGTATACATAATAAATAAATAAATACTTAAAAAACATTCAGAGAACATGATCTTGAGAACGCAAGGACCCAAAAAGCTGGAGGAGGGCAAGGCTAGCAGAGGCAGATCCATGTACCTTACAGAGATGGCCGTGAGTTGTCCTGAGCCTCCCCTGATCCACAGTCACCAGGGAAGCAGTTATTCCTCGTCTGGAGTCGGCTGGGCCCCCTGGGAACTGCTCAGTCTAAGTCATCTGTAGGCTCAAACATAATGGAAACTAGAGAATCTGTGCTGTGCCCCGACTCTGGACAACAGTGTCTGAGATGGGAGAAGGGTGTCGTTCCCAGCTCAGGAGCAGCCTTTGGAACAGGCTGGGTGCACACCCAGGTTTTGTCACTCTGAACCGGTCTTCACATTCAGTGGGTGGAAAACCCGACAGGTCCCCAGGGGCAGGTTGAATGCAACTGTTTGTTAATCCATCTGCTCCATGAGCCAAAAATGCTGTTGCCTTCCAGCACACAGCTGTGTGGTCCTGGCAGCCTGCTCGCTTTGTCACGCAGCAGGGAGACCACAGTGGACATGGGCCGTCCCACAGGGTGACTCGAGTACTTCTGCTGTGCCCATATGACTAGATCAGCAACATAAGTAGAGTGTGGACCTCTCTGCTGAGGGAGAAGAGACACGGCAGGCAGCTGCGGCAGCAGAAGTATTGCTTGGAGCCGTGGAGACCCAGGAAATAGTGAGGCCTTGTCAGGGCCTTGGCTTCTCAGCTAAGAAAGTACAGGGAGAAGGAAGCAGAGGGGCTCCAATGCCGTGCAGAATAGCGAGGGAAGTGCGGCTAATCCCTGGTTAGGGCAGCAAGTGGGGGTCTTTGGGCTGGGGCATCTGGTCTGGAACTTCCCTCTGGCTTGCTTCCGACTAATCACAAAGCTGAGCATCTGGTTCTTTCCCCTGAATTGCTGATGCACGTGGCATGTCGCCTCCCATGTCCTGTGTGTTTCTGGCCTGGCCCTTTCCTGGAAACACAGTTGTCTGTGGCAGACCCAGGGAGTTCCTTCATTCTGGGAGGGTAGGACATCATCCCGGGTCAGTAGAATATTTATCACACAGGTGGAAAAAACATTTTTGTAGAAGGGAGACCAAGTTATAGGCTGTTTGGATCCTGTGGGGAATAGGAGACCCTGCTATGGTTTTCAGAAATGATCACTGTGTATTTGTTAATAAGCGAAGGGTTCAAGAAGCAGCCATGAGGGACTGTCCACTAGGATGACAGTGCAGCCCTGGCTGTAGCTTTAAGGGCAATTCTGAATTGCTCAGTGTACATATCATGTCAGATTTTGGCTAACTCCTTAAGAAATCAGTGCCATCTATCCCCAAACATTCCAGGGACATCTGTCTTGTCTCAGGCCCTCTTGTGGCCTTGGAGAACCCTGAGAAAGTTAGATCTCAACCTCTCTGTGGTCACCCCAAGAGGTAGAATATTTCTTTGCAGAAAAACCTAAAATGAACTTGTCAGGAAATCTTGAAATTGTCCAGGGAGGAAGCTCATACCGTAGCAAGAGGCCCCCTCCTGTCTCCACATCTGGGGTCTGTTGGGGACAGCCGCAGGACTGCACAGCCACAAAAGAGCAATATTGACTATGTGAGCCACCAAGACCACCTCCAGCTGCTCAGCACCTTCATAACTGCTGACAGGCAGCTCCCATGTCCACCCACGTCTGCAGTGAAATGGTCTAGTGAGTTTTTCTTAGTGTCGCGGGTGTTGTTTCTGAACTGGAAGACAGGGACTTGCTTTTCTCTATCTGCGGTGCTTGGCACCTCTGAGATTGAGCCGCTACCTGTGTGAGTCATAATGCAGACTGTAGGGATTTTGGGGTGCAGAGACTTATCTCTGGAGATGGCAGGCTCCTCGCCTGGGGCCTTGCGCCTTCCTACTCTAACGCAGTCTGCACCTCGTGCAGCCTCTGGCCTTCTCACTCTCTGTCTCAACCCTGACTGTTCCACGGCCGTCTTTCTCTTCTGGGGAGGCCAGGATGGTTTGCTCATGGTCGAGCTGAGATTCCTCCAGCCCAGTGCAGAATGTAAAGAGGAAGACTCTGTTTCTCCAAGGTTAGCTTCTTTTCATGTGACCTTGGGGTCTGAGCCGAGCTGAGGTCCCTGGGTACCATGGCCGGCCTAGTATTGTTTCCCTCACTGCCTCTGTCCCCTGGGGACTTTACCCTTTCTGGTTTCCAGTTAGCTTCTCTGTCTCAAAATGGACCCACACATTCTCCACTTGCCACAACCTCCCCTCCGTGGCTTAGTCCAGCCCACCTTCCCCCCATCGGCTCTGGGCCAGTCTTCTCCAGAACAATCAAAAGTCCACCGTGCATGCCAGTCTGTAGACTCCAGAGGAAACTGCTCCCTCCCCTACAGCCTGGTCATCCCTGAGCTGGGGCTATGCTGTCTCCACCGTTGGCTCCTGGGCTGCCCACACACACCCTTCCTGCTTATCAATACCAGTGTAGCTTTGGGCGCGGAGCATCGTACGGTAAGTGTCTGTGAAATTGAATTGAGCTGACTTATGTGAACTGAATTGAATCAGCTTGCAGACAGCTTCAGCAGAAATGCAGATGGCAGATAGACCAGCCGTGGGTGTGACTGATTGCCTGTCTCCTGCCCTGTAGGTTCGATGTGCGGCTGTGTTTGCCCTTGGCACCTTTGTGGGAAACTCTGCTGAGAGGACCGACCACTCTACCACCATCGACCACAACGTGGCCATGATGCTGGCCCAGCTGATCAATGACGGGAGCCCCATGGTCCGGAAGGTATGTGGGTGCCAGCTCAGTAGCTGAAGTAGGGGCCTACGAGCTGAGCCAGCCCAGAGGATCTCAAATCCGCCTGTGTGTGCTAGTTCATCTTTTCAGAGTGTGCCCTCATTGCTCATGTCTGTTCCCCTGAGGGCACTGAGCTGACCAGGTCTCTAGTCTTCACACAGCAGCCTTCTCCTCACCCGGGCACCGGCATGTGGCACTGGGTCTCTGCAGAACAGAGACAGGTCTGTGCAGTGTGTCCCCTGTCTTCTCTGCTCCCTAAGGTTCACACCTCCATAAAAAGATGTTCCACATCCTCCTGAGCCGGCAAGGGCGTTTGAGGGAAATGCTCTGACTTCCTGACCTGGTGAACCTGGGGCTGCTCTTAGAGCAGACTGCCCGCGGTGACCATGGGCGCCTGTTGTCCGTGAGAGCCACTGGGCTTCTTGCTCAGCGTTCCTTTTCTTTTGGTTGTTTTGAGACAGGGTTTTTTTGTGTAGCCTTGACTTTCCTGGAACTCAGAGATCCTCCTGCCTCAGCATCGGAGGATGTGGAAGGGGTAACTCCAAGCCTCTGTCCTGAGCGATGTGACCTATGGGTCCCTGGGCACAGCTGAGGTCTGAGTGCAGAGCAGAGCAGCTCAGCATCACATCTCATGGTGAGCCGAGCTTTGGAAGACATACACGGCATGGTGAGCTGTTGGAAAAACCAGTGTGGAGCTAGGAGAGATGGGAGGAGCAGAGAGAGAGAGAGAGAGAGAGAGAGAGAAAGAGAGGAAGAGAGAGAACACACCCAAGGAGACCTGGCAGCCCTGTCTGCAGCCCGCTGGTCAGCTCAGGGCAGCCTCAAGGGTCTCTGACAGACCTCGGTTTTCTGCAAACATCTTTCTCTCTACAGAGTGGTGCTGGTGTCCACAAGTCTACATTCTGTTTCATTTCCTTTTGACTCTCAGTCTCTAAGCATTTAAGTTGTGGTGCTATATCATCATAAACTACATGTAAATCCTGTCTCCCCAGACTCTGGCATTTAGGCCTAGGTGTCATGTTTTAATTCAAGGACTTTTCTCATTCCCTCATATGGACTAGAACCTACTATAGCTGAGGAAGCTTCTTGCTCACTGTAAAGAATGCTTCAGCTAGTCAGCTGTGCCCACCAGTCTCTGGAGCAGGATCAAAAATGGCAGTTTTGGCCAGAGTCACAAGCCTAATTTTAAATCCGTCAGGGGTGTGGAGTTCACACTGTGGCTTCAGAAAGCCTTGGGGTGGTAATTCCTGCCTAGCAATGAGTGAACAGACTGGGGCAAGTGTGCCTGGCAGCTGGGGGCACCACTTGCCAGCCACTGGCCTGCTGCCTTCACAGCCCCAGACTTCCTTGATTCCCCCTCCTGGTCGTGATGCCAAGTGAGCCTTGCCCTGACCCTCATTTCCCAGAGTCACATTAGGGTTAGCTTCAGACCTGCTGTCCTGCGGGTTCCTGCCGCCATAGACATGATTGTCCCTTCTCCCTCTCAACAGGAGCTGGTGGTGGCTCTGAGTCACCTTGTAGTTCAATATGAGAGCAATTTCTGCACTGTGGCCCTGCAGTTCATGGAAGAGGAAAAGAACTACCCCTTGCCTTCTCCCGCAGCCACAGGTATAGCTCACGGTAGCCCAGGACCTGCTTCCTGGCCTTCACCAAACCTGTCAGTGGTCTGGGTTGGGCCAGGTCTGAGCATGGCTTTCTGGTACTGCTTGGGTGGTCCCTGGTACTCCTGTTGTCTCAGGCCTTTGGAAGAATACAGGTGCGGGGAAAGGGCTGTGCTGACCCTCTTTTTTCCTTCCTTCTTACCTTTCTTGGAATTTAAATTTGGGGACATCTTGGAAGATGGCAACCTCTGCCGTGGGACATGCTGAAAAGAACATTAGCCGTCTTCCTGTGATGAGTAACTGCTTCACGTTGTTGTTGGCTTCATGTTTCCATGACTCACATTAGGAAGCTCATTTGTCCTTTTCGCTGGAGGATGCAGTCATCTTCCACGTTTCTCTTCATCACCCTCCCTCCAGATCACAGCCGGGATCGTGAGCAATGGCAGAGCCTTCTTCCTTTCAGCCAGGGTACTGGGCATCACTGTGATGCTGCCTAGGCCACCGAATACCTGGAATGGCCTCACAGCTACTACTGCCCTTCTGGTTCATGCTGTCTTGTGATTTAATCCTTACATGGCTACAAATAGTACCTTTGTCCCACTGAGTCCTGCACATCAGGAGAGTATCATGAAGGCCCTTCCACACTCAGTCTTGTACCAGTAACACTAACTGTTCCTGTTGCCATGGCTGCAGGCATCCACATGCCCCCATCCTGAAACTTATTGCTAACTCTTTCTTTTCTTTTTTTTTCCTAGAGGGGGGGAGCTTGACCCCAGTTCGAGACAGCCCGTGCACCCCCAGACTCCGTTCAGTGAGCTCATATGGGAATATCCGAGCCGTCACCACAGCTAGGAACCTGAACAAGTCCTTGCAGAATCTGAGCTTGACAGAAGAGTGTAAGATGCCAGAAACCAGTATTTGGGGTGGGAAGGTTCAGCGTGCTTTACCAGACGTTACTCTTAAGATGCTACTGTGCCCCTTGGCCCCGCCCTCCAGAACATGGGCCCCGATGTTCTGTGTGGCAGCCACCATGACAACTGGCCACCTGTTCCTGGCTCAGCACCGAGAGCAGTCAGGGTCACAATATAGACTTTACAGTTGTACCAGGGCTTGACTTGTTCCAGGGAAAGGAGTCTACCGGTTGGTGCACACACGTGTCCATTAGTATGCCCGGTGTGTGTATGTGCCCATTGTGAAGAAAGCTCATGTTTCGATCAGACAGGCCATTAACTGTAAGACCCTGACCTATTGCCTGTCATTTTCTGGCCAGCGGGCAGCTCAGTGGCCTTCTCCCCTGGGAACCTCAGCACCAGCAGTAGCGCCAGCAGCACCTTGGGAAGCCCTGAGAACGATGAGTACATCCTGTCCTTTGAGACCATCGACAAGATGCGGCGTGTGAGCTCCTACTCGGCGCTCAACTCCCTCATAGGTGAGTCCCCATTCTTACCCTTCTTCCTGCTGCTTGCGTGTCTTCCCAAAACAGCACGTGTCTTTATTTGGTCAGATAAATGAACCAGAACTATCTCCATTGGATGCGAAAGAATAGAAATTGTCTGGAGCTTGAAAAAGTGAGAACATTTTGCAATGGAATATTTTACAGGCTGGTCCAGGGATCTGTGAGCTTGCTGGCTTTGTCGGGCAGGAAAGTCTAGACAAGTCCATCTGCCTTTCTTTGCGTTTCTCGAGTGTGCTAGACCTGGCAGTGTGGAGCCCTGGCTTCCAGCAAAAGATGAAGTGGGGTGCACCAGGTTTCTGGTGGGCAAAGCCAGCGGTGCCATTCTCTGCCCCTAGTGCCCAGGGCAGCCTCACAGTGAGCAGTGGGAGGTCAGAGCACAGGGTGTCACTCACCCTGAAGCGACCTCAATGCCCACCTGCTACAACTCCACCAAGCCTAGCAGCTTGACCCTTCACTGCCTAGAAATTGGGGTTTAATGGCCATTGTTCTCATTCTGCCACGAATGGTAACATCTGGACTTCACTGACGTCACAAAGGAAATGAGAATTAGCTACTGAGTTTTCTTGCTATGCACCTGTGCTCATTCTCAGACTGTGGAATTGAATTGTAAGCCCTAAGCAGACCACACTTCTCTTGTACTTCATCTTACTGAGACCCTGTGTGACATGCACAGCGTAGCCTGGGGCCCTGGAATCTTCCTTAGGCTCAAGGGCTAGGAGCCAGGGCCTTGTCGTGAAGCAGCTCAGCCTGCCTCTTGCTCTCTAATCAGTGAATAGCAGCTTTGCCTTCAGTTTTGATCTTGGAGATGGAAGGGTTAAGGAATCCTGTTTTGTTGGGAGCCGTAACAGATGGTGCAGAGCAGCTCCTATAGAGAAGCCAGCCCAGCTATGTCTACTTCACCCTTCCCCACCTACCCTCTCAGAAGTTGGTATCTGTGTGGTAACACCTCATACTGGTGTGTGTGCGTGTGTGTGTATGTGTGTGCGTGTGTGTGTAAAAAGTTTTATCTATATATCAATTCAAATCTTGGAAAACTGCATAGCAGTACAGCTGGAGAGATGGTTCAGCAGTTAAGAGCACTGGCTGCTCCTGCACCTGCAGAGGACCTGGGTTTCATTCCCAGCTCCCCAGAAGTGGCTTGTAGCTGTCTGTAGCTCCAGTTCCAGGGGATCTAATACCGTCTTCTGGCCATGGCAGGCACCAGGTACACCCACGGTACACGGATACACATGAGGAGGGAGTTTCCAAGTGAGGAGAGTTTAGGAAGGAAATAAAACAGCAACCTTCCTCCCTGCCAGCCTTGTCCCCGTTCAGTGTGGTGCCGCACACATGCACACGCAGACCTCAGCGCTTACAGCGTGGTTAAGATTCATAACTTGCAGAATCCCGTTACTGGCAACCCTTGCCTGTTTAAAGTCGATTTCTTCTTTCATTTCAACCAAAGAACAGCAATCTTAGTCCCTTTCTCCGAATATTGCAAAAGAAGTTTTCAAAACCTTGGCAACCTAGAGCCTGTCCTTACACCTGTCCTCACAAAAGCAGCTTCCTTCCAGGTACCCTGTTCTGCTCCCCTCCCAACTCTGCTCAGAGTGCTCAAGGTGACCTGCTGTCTGGCCCTGTGGTCACTGACACAGCAGGGCCTGGGGCAGAGGCAGAGGCAGCACGGATCTCCACTCCACCCAGCTCTTTGGTTTTTGGAGTCAGGGTTTCTCTGGGGCTTTGGAGCCTGTAATGGAACTCACTCTGTAGACCAGGCTGCCCTCGAACTCAGAGCGCTGGGATTAAAGGCGTGCGCCACCACCGCCCACCCCCATGTGGATCTTTAACCTCACCACTCCTCTTGTTCTCAGTCAGTCGTGGTCTGAGGACCTCATAGTCGCTCTTCTGTTTCTGGGCCCCTCTTTCCCTGTGCATGTACCTTTGGTCTCAACACTGCACCATGGGAAGTTCTTGCATGCCAAGTGAGGCTGCCCTTCCTGGAAAGTCCAGGCAGGAACTGGAGAGCCCCTCAATGAGGATCTTAGCTGGGCATCTCTGCAGTGTGCTCCCCGGACTAACTCTACCCCCTGTGAGACTTGATGCCCCCTCTGCTGCTCTGTTCTCCCTTCCGCAGAGCTCAGAGCTCTTGGTGGGGCAGTGTCCCCACTTGGCAAAGGATCTCTGTTGTTTCTGTGCTATACCTGACCCAGCTGCATTGAGGCTCATGGCTGCCATTTTTATTATCAACTTTCTGAAGAGCTATATTTTTCTTTAAAAATTTTATTACTGGGGCTGGAGAGATGGCTCAGAGGTTAAGGGCACTGACTGCTCTTCCTGAGGTCCTGAGTTCAATTCCCAGCAACCACATGGTGGCTCACAACCATCTGTAATGAGATCTGGTGCCCTCTCTGGCGAGTAAGCATATATGAAGACAGAACACTGTATACATAATAAATAAAAATATTTAAAAAAAAAATTATTACTATTGACTACGTTTATGGTGTTGGCCACGGCATACATGTGCAGCTAGGACGGCTTTCTGGAGTCGGTGCTCTCCTTCCACTTTCACCCAGACTCCGGGGCTTGCACTCAGCTTCTCAGTCTGTGCCACAAGCACTTTCTGCTGACTTAGCCATCCTGCTGGCCCTAGAGCTGTTTCTTGCTGATGTGTATACAGTTGCAGCCTTGCCTGTCCTCCCCGTCCACCTAGTTCCCTGTGTCCCTGATGCCTGCCCATGGGAGCAGGTCAGCACAGAGTGGGCCAACTGTACAGCTCCTCCTTACCCCTTGGCAGTAATGCCCACTGTGCACAAAGCCCAGGCCCACACCACTTTGAACTCTGTCCACAAATGCCCTCCTCATTCCCTGCCAAAGCCCCAACCCCAGTAAGGAGGGTAGTGGCACTGTGTTTACTCTCCCTGCTTCCTTGTCACCTGCACCTTCATCAGAGACACATGCCAAAAGAATTTCGGTCTGGAGGCTTGAGAGGAAGGGGTATGGTCTCACTTCAAAGGCACTGGGAGCCTCAGAGGACAGGACCAGGGTTTTTACAACTCTGCTGAGCAGTGACATTTTATAGCATATTGAAAATGCATCACCATGGCAACAGATCCGAGGCAGAGCTGATACTGAAGTGAGGACAGAGGAGTCACAGACCTGCAGGGCTGCCCTCACCTCAGTGCGGCCCAGAGCCCTGCTCGTGTGTGTTCCTATGGGAGCCAGCAACTCTGCAACCTAAGCCTAGAGCCCGCGGTGGAGCAGGGGACAGAATGACTCCAGGGAGAAGGCAGCAGCCCGGAGCGAGCTGTCTCCCGCCCCAAAGACCCTCAGGCCCTGTGAGTACTGGTCAGTCAGCACGAAGGTGACAGTCAGCCATTAGCCTGCTTCCCTGCTTTCCCCTGCTTCCCTCTTGTCAGAGTCAGGAAGCACAGAGATTTTACATCCCAGCCCATAGCAGTGATGGAGTGAGGTTGCCCCGAAAGGTAGAGTTCACTGGTATCTGCCTTGACCGGAAGGGATCCAACAGGGACTTGCTGAAGGAAGTTGAGTGCTGGGAATGTAGCTCAGTGGTAGCACACCCACCGAGCGGACAGGCCCTGCTTTGGTCCCCAGGTTTTGAACGGAGGCCCAACACCTATGAATTTGATTCTTCTCTCCAGAAAAGCCTTGGTTAAAGCCAAGCTTGGTGGCTTGTACAAGGACGCTGAGGGTCAACTGAAAAAGCCATGCAAATACTCCAGGTGCCACTGAAGCCAACAGTCACAGCCACACAGGTTGGGGAGGCCAGAGCCGTGGGTCATCATAACCCCTCCAAGGGCTCCATCCGGCCAGCAGCGTAGACTCGGGAGGGAAGATGTCACCGAATTTGCTCTGAAGCACCGGGGCAGGGGGCACACACACACATACCACCACCATCACTCTAGCCTTGGGACCTGCGTTTCTGAAGACTGTCAGAATGGCCATTCCCAGGTCACACTGCAGCCTCATGCCCAGTGGAGCCCCTCTCACCAACAAACTCTGGCTCGGAGAGATGACCCTCCATCATCTGCTGCTTAGAAAGCTGTGGCCATTGCCCTAAAAATCAATCCTAAAACATCACGGTCTTTTATTACTTCTAGTCTAGACATGAAAATGAATCCTTGGCCTTCCAGGGCTCAGCGAGTGGCAAGCTGTAGGGCAAGGCCCAACCACTGCTGCTCTGCTCTGCGGCAGGACCCAGTGTCCCACGGTCCCCATGGAGCCTGGTCCCTGTGTGAGGGTGGCAGGCTGTGTTTTGAGGATAGCAGATGTTAAAACAGGGCAGGAGCCAGAGAAAGTCACTCCTGGCAAACCAAGGGAAGATGTTTGTGATCACGGCTTCGCTTTCCACCAGGAAAATTGTGCTCTCGTCACGGTCCCAGTGGTAAAGTTTGTCTCCCTGTTGTGTCCTGAGTCAAGATCTAGAAAGTCAACCCAGTAACTGAAAAGTTGTTTTAAAGTAAATGTAGTATCTACAAATGTCTCCCTTCCTCTGTGTCCTGCACACTGTTTGGCCTTTCTGGCAGTGTTCTATGGTTCCTGGTTCTGAACAACCCCCCCACAGGAGTCTGCGTCTGTCAGCCCAGCACATGAGGCCAAGACTCTGGGACCCCACCTGTGCCTTGCTACCCTGTTCAATTTACGGACTCCAGCTGTGCCTGCATGTTCAGTCACTAAACCAACAGATGGGCAACGTAGAAGCCTCATTTGTCATGCCTGCCCTCCCCTCCCGCTGCCGGCATTGCATCTACCCATCCCCTTCCCAGGCTGTGACGGGGTCTGCCATCTGAGTCACACAGGTTTGCATCAGCATCACGATCCTTTCTCAGCTGTGTCACATGGCCGCTGAGCTTTGCAGGAAGCTGCTTCTGATGTGTCAGTCCCTGGAGGACGAGGCGGCCTGTGAGCACTTGCTGCCAGCTGGAGAGGGGCTGCCGCTCCGTCAGGGGGCCAGTTCCCCATTTCTCTCAGGTGAAGCTTCATGCAAAACACATGACATCTTTTCCTTCTTGAATGTCATTCTCTAGAGTACACCTCTTCTCCTCTCAAAAAGGCACAGAGATAAAATTGGTGCCTGGCAACCCCGTACCCCAGAGCTGGAAGTCAGATGTGACGGTGTTTGCCCAGAGAAGTCCTGGGCTGACTGCACTAGATTCCATAGACTTCAGTTGTAAATCTTGCCTGCTGTTTGGTTGGATCTGCTGATTCTAAGCTATGGCCACATGAGAAAGCGAGCGTGTAGCGAGCAGGCTGCTTTCATTGGTTTGTTCCTGCCACTGGTCAGCCCAGGCTAGTGGGCTTGTATGTTGTCTCATTTCATCACTTCCAGGTTTACCACAGCCTAGGTCCCCTGCACATGCGCCTCCCACAACTGTGAACAGAGCCAGTACTGAAGGCCTTAGGAACTACTGAGTGTGTGCCGTGCCCACAATGCTCCTGTAGGACATTCTGTCTCTGTAGTCATGATCTGTCACCTTAAAGAGTTGCCTGTCTCAGAGGCTGATGACATAGCTTAATGGTTGAGTACTTACTACTCTTGCATGAGACCTGGGTCCAATTCCCAGCACCCACACAACAGGTCACAACCACATGCAGCTCCAGTTCTAGGGGATCTGATGCCTCTTCTGACCTCTGTGGGTTCTTGCATTCACATGGTACATATACATACCCATTTTAAAAATTAAATACTTTTGAAATGCCTTCAGTGATGGGCAGTAACATTTTAGTTGCCTAAGCAGAGAAGCCATGTGTTCAGGAGCTGAGAGGCTTCTGCAGCCTCTTGGTGAGTGGATATACATGACTGCCATGGCTCAGTGTTCACCCTGCACAGCCCAGGATCGATGGTTGATTAATCACTGATAAGTGGGTGTAGGCCCAGCAGTCATCCGGGATGCACTCCTGTGTTGAAGTCATGCACTCAGTCCACCTCGTGACTTTGAACTTGAGTGTATTCATGAACCCCATTCTCACTGCGTGACACTGTGTCCTCTGGCAGAGTTGGCTAAGGAAGGGACATGGGGTCAGGGCTTGTTTGAAATCTTCCTTCAATCTCCCTTGCTGATACTGAATAATGTTCAGATCCACCCTAAAATACACGATGGCGCTGTCTGTGACTGTCTCCCACATCCACTCCCTACCCTAGAATACAGACAGGGTGGCGCTGTCTGTGACCTTCTACCATCCACTCCCTACCCTAGAATACAGGGTAGCGCTGTCTGTGACTGTCTCCCATCCACTCCCTACCCTAGAATACAGACAGGGTGGCGCTGTCTGTGACCTTCTACCATCCACTCCCTACCCTAGAATACAGGGTAGCGCTGTCTGTGACTGTCTCCCATCCACTCCCTACCCTAGAATACAGGGTGGTGCTGTCTGTGACTGTCTCCCATCCACTCCCGACCCTAGAATACAGGGTAGCGCTGTCTGTGACTGTCTCCCATCCACTCCCGACCCTAGAATACAGACAGGGTGGCCTAGGGATTTAGAACAGTGCTGGTATATGGAGTGGACAGGAGGAGCCCAACAACTCACAGGCACAAGTCCACATGTAGAGTGTGCTGTGGACAGAACCTCGCACCCCACATAAACTGTGTACTGTACTGCAGGACACGGTGTCATCTAGGAATCTAGAGCATGAGAGGAAAGATGTGTGGGAACTGGGTAGCCTTCTCCAGCCCACAAGTCATCCAGGTGCAGACCCTGACTGCTTTTAGCCATTGTCCTTTAGAAAGACCCATCCTCAAAAGGTGTAGCCTTGCCAGGCATAGTGGTGAACGCCTTTAATCCCAGCACATGGAAGACAGAAGCAGGAGGCTCTCTGTAAATTCCAAGTCAGCCTAATCCACATAGTAAGTCCCAAGCCAGCCAAGATACAAGATACGTAGTGAGACCCTCTTTCCAAAAAAAGGGAAAAACAAAAGATGAAACCTGGGTAATGAAACCTGTTTACTGCTGGAATATTTTTGACATTTATCTCGGGGGGGGGGGGGGAGTGTGAGATGCATGTGGCAGTCAGAGGAAGTCAGTTCTCCATTCTACCACATGGGTTCTGGGAACTGAACTCGGGTCAAGCGTCTCTTTACCTGAAGCCATCAACAGAGCAACAAATGGGGAAACTCTTGTAATCCCAGCTCCAGTGCTCCCTCTTGACAGCATGGGGCATTCAGAAAACAAGCTACCTCACCAACCTTTGTATGCATGGGGACCTACTTGCTACTAAGGAATCTCTTGTTTCTCTTTCCTAGGAGTTTCTTTTAATAGTGTTTACACTCAAATCTGGAGAGTCTTACTACATCTAGCTGCTGATCCCTATCCAGATGTTTCTGATTTGGCCATGAAAGTCCTCAACAGCATTGCTTACAAGGTACGTGCCTGAGAAATTGTCACTAAAGCTCTCATATGTCTGCTCCTGTCGTGAATAGTCAACAAGGAGCTCCACGGGCATCCAGGCTTACCCCATAGTTTGAAAAAATAAATAGAAGCTGGTGGTGGTTGCACACCTTTAATCTCAGCATTTGCGAGGCAGAGGCAGGCCCATCTCTTGAGTTTGAAGCCAGTCTGGTCTACAGATCAAGCTCTAGGACAACCAGGGCTACACAGAGAAACCCTATCTCAAAAAAAAAACAAAAACAAAAAATGGATGGGTGGATGATGGATGAATATTAGGTAGGTAGGTAGGACTTTGAGCAAGCATTGTGAGTCTAGAGCTTCGTAATATATCCTGAACTTTGCTTGCAGTGTAGCCTCAGATGTAAATGTTTTCCATGATCTCCATGTCTGTGAGATCTGTAGTGATTTCCTCTCCTCCAGCTCCAGTTCTGGGCTCTTGTGCTCACTTTTTTCTGTCCTGTTTTTTATTTCCCACTTGACTTAGCTGTTCTTGTTTTGGGTTTTTTTGTTCTCATTCCTCAAGTAGAAAAGCATGGTCTTCTTTGGGGATTATTGCTTCCTCCCTTAGCAGCCCTGGGGATCTGACCTAATCCTTTCCTATGCACTTTCCCAGCCTTGAGGGTGCTCATCCAACTCACTGACCTGCCTTGTGGCCTTGGAAACACCCTTCTCCCCTGCACTCTACCCTGCAAGTCCCCTCTCCTCTTCCCTCCACCTCCTCCCTGGATCTTGGTTGGTTATAGCACTGGGCTCGGTGGGGTTCCCCTTCTCTGCTGCAGGTGGGTACTGGCTGGAAGCCACTTGCCCCATAAGCTGGGATAGTTGTTCTGCAACTCAGAGGCGTCCCTGGCCACTGTACATGTAGTTTCTGAAAAGAGTTGTTAGTGTTTTTCTAATTGTTTATTTAAGTTAGACAGTTCAGGTCTCATAAGTAGAACAAACTAGAAGTCATTCATTATGAATAAAAACTTCTATAACTTTTTCATAAAATTTTGAACATGCAGAAAAGTTGCAAGGAGCATAGAGGAAACACCACCCTACCTGGTATTCAGTCCTCAGCTGACCCCGTCATACTGGGGACTTGTGCTAGGTGGAAAGGGACCAGGATTATCCCCAGTGGGGTCTGGAGGCCGAGTGGGCCTCTGCAGCAGCCGCCCCTGCTCTGTTCGCCATGCTCCCTTGGCTGCAGATGCACCTGTGCATCTAGTCCTGCCTTCTCCTTGGCTGATTGACAGTTGACTCACTGAATCCAGCTGCTGCCTTTTCAGCCCCTTTTTGTCTCACACGTGATAGTAACAGCCTCCTTGTGCCCAGCTTTGGAAGACTGTAGTGATCAGCCTCATCCTCTGTTAAAGTAGCACTGTGAATACCACAGAGTGTATTCTGGGTTTCAGACTCAAGCTGAGGTCACACTTATGGATATCCTAAGCATAGACTTGTTGGTCCAGGGGTAAATTTCACTGCTTTCCGGCTCGGTGATTCTGGCTTATTACCAAAGTATGGAGCATGCCCAGCCTGGGGCAGCCTGACTTGTTCAGTTCAAACTAACTTGCCCGTCTCCAGGGGAGATATAGCCTCACTCACTTTCTAACCTGGCACTGCCTTTCACTGTGAACTTCAGCCCAGCTCACTCCCTTGATTATGTGTGACCCACTGCAGAGACCCCACCCTCAGTGGACAGTACACCCAGTGTGCCAGTACCAGTTACTGGCATAATGAAAAACTGCAGGTTTTATTGTTTAATAAAAATTAAAGTAAATTATTGTTTAAATAATAAATTATTGCTTTAAATAAATAAAATTATTGTTTAATAGAAAATTAAACAGTTATTATAGTATGTATTTGTGGTATGCTATGGTTTGAGGCCAAAGGAATTCAGGCAAGAGGAAAATAGGAAACAAGAAGGGAAAGGGAGAAGGTGGGAGTCTGGCTGGAGGAAGGACTTCCCTGGTCTGCCTGCAGGAGCTCGTCTGCCTGCTGTGTCTTAGGGAAGGTCGTCCCTACCACTCCTGTGGACATTCTAGCATCTCCCGCCTAGTACAGTCTCAGGTCGGGTCCTTATTACATTTTTATTTGGGGTGTGTGTGTGCGTGCGTGTGTCCTTGTGTGTGTCTGTGTCCATACCACAGCACTTGGGGAGATCAGACAATGGGAGTTGGTTCTCCCTTTCTACTATGTGGGTCCCTCAAGCTTGGGTTCTTTAAAATTATTAAGTCAGGCAATGGTGGTACATGCTTTTAATTCAGGAGGCAGAGGCAGGCGGATCTCTGAGTTCAAAGCCAGCCTGGTCTGCAGAGCAAGTTTACACAGAGAAACTGTCTCATTATATATATATATATATATATATATATATATATATATATATATATATATATATATCTCCCCGTGGACACTAAGCCTCTGTAGTTTATGCTCAAAGTTTGTAGGCAGTTCCATTCCCTCGTTACAGTTCTCTGGCACAGAGGTGTTTGGTGGCTTATTCTGTGCTGGTGGAGATGTGAGGCCGCTTCCTGACCATGACCGTGCCCACACAAGCTGCGCAGGTTGAGCCTATGTCTGGGGTGTATGGGTCATGGCCAGTCAGGGCCAGTCAGGGCCAGTCTGCGTTTCTCTTTCAGTGCATTGATGGATTTGCCCTTACAGGTACTGTGCCTGGATTATTTAACACTGTAATCTTGGTGCCTGATACTGAATTTCGCACCTGTAAGTTCAGTTCTGCAGACACCCTTGCTGTTAAACAGTGTCTTTCAAGGGCCTCCTAGGCTTGACTCTGAGGTTGTTTCATAAATGCAGCTCTGAGCCGGGAGCCCACATGCTCCACTGTAAAGTAATGTGCGTCCTGCCTACCAACTGCCATATTAGCACACTACAGTCACCTTAGAAAACAGTCTCGCACTCTCAAGACAGCAGTCTGCGGGGAAGCCCAAACCCCCAGCAGAGCAGCATTTGGCCTCTGTATCTGTTCTGCTATAGTGACAGATCCCAGTGTGCACAAGCTACCAGCTGGAGGTACACCACAGCCGGGTGTGTGTGCGTGTGTGTGTTTGCGCGTGTGTGTGTTTAGAATAAGCAATACTGAAGAATTTGGGAACATAAACATTATGGAAATTCTTTTTTGTGTCTTAATTTTAATTTTAAAAGATGCCTGCTTCTCTAGAAGCCAAAGAGATTGTATTTCACTTCCTAAAGTAATGAACCTATTTTGCATTATTTAACTCTGAAGCCAAATTTTGCTCATCAGAGTCAAAATAGCCTTATTACTGTGGAATGCCCCCTAGAATTCTACATTCAAATATAGAAGCCGCTACTAGCTGTGTCTGAAAAAACCCACACTGCTTGACAGCCATAGCCTGATTTCACATTCGTGTTTCTCCTTCCGGGAGCTCTGAAGCCACACAGAGGGAGGAGGAGGAGGTAATGCCCTAAGGAGCCATCCATGGCCCCATCGGCTCCTTTTCTCTGCCCTCTCCTGTGATTTCACGGAAGTGTAGTGGCACAGCCTCTAGGTCCCTCCAGGAGCCACACCGTCAGCAAGACATGTGCAGGCCAGGCGCTCTGGAAACCGAACACTAACCCTTAACGAGGGTAAAGTGTCAGAGCTCAAGCAGATGGAGACTGATTCTCAGAGGGGAGGGGCATATGCAGAAGCCCTGAAAGAAATTCCCCCGGGTTCTTAGTGGGGTGCTTACTAGCACACCCCAATTCATAGGTCTATCCCCAGAACCCATACAACTAGGAGTGGCTGTGCAAACCCGACATCCCAGCACTAGGGAAATGGAGGATGGGCAATCAGAAGTCTAAAGTCATCCTCAGCTAGCTAGCAAGTTCAAAGCCAGCCTGAGACACAAAAAATAGCTCAAATAAAAATGAGAGCATTGTTCGATTAAACATGTAACCTAGCCTCTCGGGTGGGAGGAGGAGAGCCATGAGTTTGAGGCCAGCTTGAGCGCAAAGTCAGACCATCTGTTCTGTCGCCCAACTTCCCTTTGCCACACAGTGCCCTGCCCTCGCCAGGCAGCCCTCGCCAGGCAGCCCTCCGTGTTCAGGAGTGCCAGTCCCAGACCAGTGAGGCTTGGTGGGGACATTCACTGCCAAGTTTCTGAGGTTCCCGTCTGTTTGGCTCTGACTTCCAGCATACTTGTGACATTCTAGTTGGACAGCTGTGACAGCGCTGAGCCATGGGTGAGACTGGCTCCTGCGTCCCAGGATAGGAGCCCAGGTGCAGTTGGGATGCTCAGGCACCTCTAGCTCCCATCTCTGTTCCCAGTTCAGATTTAGCTTCCTGATTGTTCCTGGCCTGGAGTTAACTTGGCCAGTAGCATTTGTCTCTGAAAAGCTGCTTGGCTCTGTGACCTCACCTCTACCTCTCCCCTCTGCTTCTCTTCATCCTCTGTGCCCAGATGGGAGTGGGTGCTCAGCCCTTCCTGATGGTGTGTTCATGTCCTAGTGATTCTGTGCAGATTGCATGCCTGGTGACAGTCACAGTTGGGAAGAGTTCCCTGTCTCCCAGTGTGCCATTCACTTTCGTCTGTGTCCCAAGCCCAAACTCTATAAGTATATATCTATAAGATATTCCATTAAACTTGCCTGTCAGTTAGTCACTGCATGTCAGGGTCCCTGGAGGAAGGACTGTACCCCAAGCCTCTTCCGGCCCAACGTTCTCAGTCCTCACAGCCACGTCCCTAAGGGATGCTCTGTTCACACTCCTCACCTGGCCCCACACCTGCCATGGCCAGTGCTGAGGAAACACGAGTAAACTACACGGATGCAGCCGCAAGACACCACCAGCTCCCGGCCCTGACCTGGCCCTGCAGGCCTCTCTTCTTGCAGGGCTCTGAACATGATACAAAGTGAGTCTCGTGGCAGCAGCCATGGGTAGAGGCAGGCTTCTGCAGCAGGCCAACCTGGAACTCCTAGCTCCCTTTCTGGCTCCTGTGGCACCCATTCCTGTGTTATGAGTGGGGAGAGCCCCGTGGACTTTTCAGAAACGACCTAAAGCCTCTGTCCCCATCATCTCCTCCTGTTTCTCTAGACATTCTCAGAAGGCACATTTTATTTGTAAAGATTTATTTATTATGTATACAACGTTCTGCCTCGATGTATGCCCTCACGCCAGAAGAGGGCTCCAGAATCTCAGTACAGATGGTTGTGAGCCACCATGTGGTTGCTGGGAATTGAACTAAGGACCTCGGGAAGAGCAGCCAGTACTCTTAGCCACTGAGCCATCTCTCCAGCCCCCAGAAGGCACATTTTAAATTCAGAGTCTACACTTAAATACCTTTTTCTTGCAGACTTAAGTAAGGAACCGTGTGACTGTCAGGCTAGGGTGTTGGCCGAGGTTTCTCTTACCCGGTCCTTGCAGCCGTGGAGTCCCAGAGAAGTACACAGAGTCCTACGCTAATCATAAACTGATTGGCCTAGTAGCTCAGGCTTCTTATTAATTGATTCCTATAACTTACGTTAGCCCATAATTCTTGTCTGTGTTAGCCACGTGGCTTGGCACCTTTTTTGGCGAGGCAGTCACATCTTGCTTCCTCTGTTGCTAGGTCACAACTGCAGACTGCGCTTCCCTCTTCCCAGCTTTCTCATTGCCCCGCCTCTACTTCCTGCCTGGCTACTTGGCCATTCAGCATTTTATTGAAATACAATTGAGAGGGTACAGACCATTGTCCTATAGCACAAGGGGACAGGGCAGGGATGCTGTTGAGTTGCCTGGGAAGGCTACATAGCAAGCAAGTGTTCATGAAGCGTGTGTGTGCTCTTGCGGTGTAACAGTGAGGTGCTTCATGTAAAGACTGCCTTCAGCTCTAGTTTGCTACTTCTGTTAGAAAGCCAAGGATTATCTGGGAGAAGGATGTTGTCTGTATAAACACTTCCTGTCTGATGGCTGTATTATAGGGACAGTGTTCCTGATAATGAGTGAACATTTAGAAATGTTGGGCCTGGGCAGTGACCACCAGACCAGAGCTCTTTCTGGTCAAAGTGGTCAGCATCACCTGCTCTTTGTGAAGCTGTCCCAGTTCTCTGAAGAGCGGGTGGATCCCACCTACCATGCAGTCTGCTCAGCCCTTTCCCTAGTCCTTGCCTGCCCTGGATCCTCAGAGTATGTGAGGATTAAGGAAGAAGATGAGACAGGGTGATGGTGTCTCCTGTGACATGCTAAGTCTGTGCTCAGTCACCAAGCTGCACCCAACCCTGTGATGAGGGCTCAAGACAGTTACACCAAGTCAGGAGTGGTCTGATTTGAGGAAACAAACTCCGTGTGTCGTCATCCTACCTCTCCAGCCCCTTGGCTTTCACGGACCCCTTTGAGGAATGCAGGACATTGGTGAGTGCCCAGCAGCCACAGTTCCAGACTGTCTGGTGACTCCACACTCTAGGTGGACAGCACTTCCTGACCCTCATGGCTCTGAGATGAGAGGCCCACAGGGTGGGCAGGTGCTAAGTACTGGCCCAGGGTGGCCTGGGTGCAGGGGAGGAGCCTCGAGCCTTCCCATTCCACTCCCAGAGCTCTCTGCAGGAATTATTTTCCAGCCCTGAGCCAAAGACTCAAAGCCGCACTTGGTCCTAGGTGTCGCCTTAGGTCTCACCTGGGGAGCTTTCCTCCACAGAACAAACACTTTCTCCTTTTGGAAGCTACACCAAGCAGCCATGGCTCTCACAGGAATCTGAAGCCTCATAGCCTCAGATAGATGAAAGATCGTTCCTTCTGACCTCCTGTGTCACTCCTTTGTTCCTGTAGGCCACCATGAATGCCCGGCCCCAACGAATCCTCGACACATCCTCTCTCACCCAGTCGGCCCCAGCCAGCCCAACTAACAAGGGCATGCATATCCACCAAGTGGGGTAAGTGGCTTGCCAAGCCCCGTCCACTCTGGTGGGGTCCCAGCTGCTACATCACATCCCTTGCCTTCCTCCCTTCTCTCTTAGCACTTCTCCACCCCCTCCACCCTCCCTTCTCCCTCCTGAAACACAGGTGCGCATGGTGCCCCTTTCACTTTGTTTGCACACAGCATGACAGGAAACCTTAATGGTGTCTGGTTTCTATGGCCTTTGGAAGTTTTTCAGAGGACCTGGGTTCTCTATAGGTGGGCAACGGGGTTGGGTCTACACCAGTTTCTGCTCAGGACACACCAGCTGTGGATTGCGTTATCTTGTCCTCACTGCCTCGGCTCATTGTGTCCAGTGAAGGATGCCAGGGAGCATCCAGCAGGACCAGCTTCAGCCAGGGGCAGGCCAGGCAGTGGCACATTCCTGGGAAGAGGGCCTGGGATCTCATCTCTGCATTGTGATCCCTCAGTAGAGCATGCTGTCTGCTCTTTCACAGGGGCTCCCCACCAGCATCTAGCACCAGCAGCTGCAGCCTGACCAATGATGTGCCCAAGCAGACTGTCAGCCGTGACCTCCCCTCCAGCCGCCCTGGTACTGCAGGCCCCACAGGGGCACAGTACACCCCTCACTCCCACCAGTTTCCTCGAACACGGAAGATGTTCGACAAAGGCCCTGATCAGGTACAAAGATATGAGCTGCTTTGAGCCCCTCGTGCCCTGTGAGCTCCCAGCGTCAGAACAGGGTGCTGAGAACTTAACTTTCCTGAAATTCCTTAGCTTGGGATCATTCTGTCCCTGGAGCTTTGTGCCAGCTACTGCCTTTGAGACCCTTGGAGACTCAGTGGCACCCCGGTCCAACACCCCCCTATCTGCAGGTCTGGTCTTCCTGCAGCTCCTTCTCCTAGGTTGGCTCCTCTGGACCATTCCATGAGTCACAATGAGCATGTAGAGTTAATTTCCCTTTTCCCCTTTGTGGGCGAATAGCATCTATCTCCACTTGGTGTGGCCACTGTTCTGCGGTGTTTGTTCTGAATGGCTTTTTTGGTTTTTTTCTGTGAGCATTCTGTTACTCTGCACAAGCAGGCACACACTCTGCCTTTAACTAAGCTGGAAAGAATGGTTCAGGAGAGAGGAGTGTGCTGCTGCCCCAGCCTCCGAGAGCCACAGAGATGAGCCTCATCCTCTCAGCTGCTGCGCAGTGGGGGGATGTTCAGGGTGACACTCAGCAGCAGAGGAAGGGGCCACAGCTTAGAGCCGTCCCACACACCTGGAACCCCAGCACTCAGAATGCTGGGTAGGAAGACCACTGCTATACACTGCAGGGGAGAAGAGCATAGTGACCTTTGTCAGCTAGATGTCTTTTCGGGTGTAAGGAGAGGAGTGCCAGGCCCACTGGCATGAGATGGGAAGATTGGGTACACAGTGAGACCCTGTCTCAAACAAAGCTAAAATCGGTCTAGGAGCAATGAGACTAACGCGTTTCCTCGTGATTCTGCTCTTTTGCAAACACCCCAGACCACAGATGATGCAGACGATGCAGCCGGACACAAAAGCTTCATGTGTGCCACCATACAGACTGGGTTCTGCGACTGGAGCGCCCGGTACTTCGCCCAGCCAGTCATGAAGGTGAGTGTGAGTTCTTGGCCGCAACCCCAAGCTGAAGCTGAAGTCCTTCAACCTGAAGCTGAAGTCCTCATGCTGCCTTCTCTTTGCCCCTGTCCCTGTCCCTGGTGCTGATCCTTGTTCCTAAAAGTTCCTTTCTAGTGACACAAAACCCAATCTTAACCCCATCTCTGGCTGCCGGGGTCTGTTAGCCCACCTGTGACCTGAGCAGGTAGGCCAGGATTGGCAGGGGTGTGGGTAGGGGAGCTCAGTCACACTCATCCTTACCTTTGTTTCCGTGGCTTCTGTCACACCCTGCTAGCTGTGGAGGGTGACACCGAAGTGCTGTCATAGAACAGGTGGTGACAGTTAAGACAGAAGAGCCCACTGGTGGCGGTGGTGCATGCTTCTAATCCCAGCACTCGGGAGTCAGAGGCAGGATGATCTCTGTGGGCCAGCCTGGTCTACAGAGTGAGTTCTAGGACAACCAGGGCTACACAGAGAAACCCTGTCCTAAACAAGGCTTAAGGGACCAAAAGAAGAGCCAAAGTGGCCGGCTTTGGTTTCTTCCTGTCTTCCCAAAGAAAGCACGGGCAGAAATCTGCTTGTCTGGGACCTGCCAGTGTCACGTGTCTCCTTGTCTAACTCCCTGTGGAAGAGTGTGTTCAGAACTGTCCTTGGACCATGCCTGGTGACAACGGGGACTTACCCTGCCAAGATCCCTTCTGATCTTAATCTGCCTCAGCTGTAGTGCAAGATGTTTCAAGACTACAGATTTGTGCCCAAGCTAATGAATGGCCCCAAACCAACAGCATCTACACTGGGTCAGCCCCTGAGTCTGTCTCCATGTCAGAGCTGCAGAAATGGGCTTTTAGGTTTGTCTGTAGGCCTGAAGCAGGCTCTCTGAATTTTTTCTCCTTCCTGTATATTGACAACTGAGAACTGAGAGCCACAGCTTATTCTTACTTGTATGTCGAGCTAGATGCCCAAGTAAGTTCTCTGAAAAGCATTCAAAACAGCCATTAGAGTATAAAATGGCCGGGCTTCCTATGTCTTGAGCCACCCTTCCCTCCAAACTAATCATTGCTTTGTTAAGATGATATATAAAAATCAAATATATATGATCTCTATGAGTCCTTTAAAGGCAAAAATTGAGATACACTTAAATGTCTAACAGAGACTGGACAGTTAAAAATTCTGAAATAGGGTTGAGGGCATAGTGACAGGGCACACGCCTCTCTTTCCCGGGACTCTGGGTTCCATGGAGAAGCACTGTAAAAATAAAATAAAAATAAAACCTCCTCAGGGCTGGGCCAGGATGTGGCTCAGTGATGGACAGCTTGCCTGTTGTACTAGAAGCCACAAGTTTCATCTCAGGATCACCAAAAAATAAAATAATAATAAATAAAAAGTCTTGAAACATCTGATTAGAAATTATTGAAACTATGAAACAAGTCTTTTTCTTTTGGTTTTGGTTTTTTTGGATTTTCAAGACAAGGGTTTCTCTGTGTGACCCTGGCTGTCCTGGAACTCACTCTGTAGACCAGGCTGGCCTCAAACTCAGGAGATCCACCTGCCTTTGCCTCCCGAGTGCTGGGATTAAAGGCGTGTGCTATTGCTACTCTGCCCAGCTAAGCAAGTATTTTTTGGTTTTTGTTTTTGTTGGTTGGTTGGTTGGTTGGTTGGTTGGTTTGGTTTTGGTTTTTTTTTGAGACAAGGGTTTCGCTGTAGCTTTGGAGCCTGTCCTGGAACTAGCTCTTACAGACCATACTGGCCTCAAACTCACAGAGATCCTCCCGCCTCTACCTTCTGAATGCTGGGATTAAAGGCGTGCACCACCACTGCCTGGTGTAAGTATTTTTTTTACAATTAAATCTGAAAGTTAATTAGTAACAGCCAGGTGTGGTGGTACATGCCCATAATAATCCCAGCACTCAGGAGGTTGAGGAGGGAGGATTGTGACTTCAGAGTCAGCCTGGACCGTATTTTGAGACCCTATCGTAAAACAAAACAGACCAAAAAGTTTGTCGCATAAGAAAATGCTTATGACAGAATGTTTTAGACAAATACCAAGAGCTGGACCTCTAGAGGAACAGTAGTTCTGTAGGCCATTATGGCCCACATGCTCATGTGAAATCCTAGAAGGGAATTCTGTGGCCTCGGACACCTCGGTAGTATGGCACTGTGTAGTACCAAGTATGAAGGGTTGGGGTGTAAAGAAATGAGCTTGCTGATCTTCCTCGTGTGGGGATCAAGCTGTAGGAACGAGCACAGGTCCGTAGCTGCCCACACAGCAGGGGAGCACGCCCTTCTGATCTGCGAGAAGAAGGGTGCATGCCCTGGACGTGTGTGGTAAAGATCCCACAATGGGGCACTCAGACACTGCAGGCCATTGAGAACTTTACCAGCATTTGGTTTCCTGATATATTCCATGCTCATGGCAGATAAGGTTGGAAAATGCAGACACAGACCCCTGCTTCCCTCCACCATGCTGGCAGCGGCTGGCAGGAATGGTGACTTCTTGGGACACTAGTGAGAGGCTGTTCTTGAAGGCCTTAAAAACTGCTTCTTTTCTGTCATCCTTGTGTGCTGAAAGGAAGGGCACAGGTGATTCAGAATGCACTCCCACTAGACTTAAAACTGAGCTCAGTGTGTTCCAAAGGACCGTCATAGAGTGAGCAGCCATCCCTCGGTACAGGCGGTGGGTGAGAGTCCTCAAAGGCCGGCTGTCCTCAGCTCACCTAGACTCCAGTGCCTCCGTACTCCTCTGCAGTACAGGGGTGGGGGGCACTCCTGGGATGAGCTGGACTCAGTGGGCTTGCCAGATGAAGAGATTTGCTACACAATCACTGACATCTCTATCAGAAGCAACTAGAAATTGAGATGCAATATCAGTGGCATTCGCAAATAACACTACAAAACAGAAATACTGAGTGTAAATTTTTTGATACTGAAAATTATAATACTGTAAAAGAAATAAGAGAGGCCATGTTCACAGGTGGGAAGGCTCAGTGGTGTGCAGGTGCTGGGCCTCCCGAAATGGCCACTTAAATCAGCGCAGCCCTGATCAAAGTCCCAGGGAAACTGTTTTGGCAAAAATGATGAGCTTTAAATATGGAGAGAAGCAGTGAAACTCCAAAAACTAGAAATTCTGCAATAGAGCAAAGCTGCAGGGCTCACACTGTCCAATGTCAAGACTGTCCAGTTAGTAATCAGGATGTGTATGGACCTGGAACATGGACAGACACATAGATCAGTAGGGTAGAATAAAGAGAGACAGCCACACAGGCAGGTTCCATTGATTTTCAGCCAAGGCATGGAAACAGTTCAGTTCAGCAGAGACATTTCAAAGAAACACCTTACCAACAGAGTGGATTGTGTTCCTACATGTAAAACCCCAAACTACAAATCTTTGGGTTACACAGAGCCATTAATAAGATACAGAAACCCCACAAGTCATACAAGAAAACAAGATGATGAGTTGTACTTCATCAAATAGATACTCTGGCAGCTCTCATGGCTGTCCTCAGCTGCACAGCACATTTGAACCCAGACTGTGTACACGAACTCTGTGTCTTAGTTGGGATTTTTATTGCTGCGATGCTACACCATGACCAAAACCAACTTGGGAAGGGTTAGTTAACTTTGAAAGTGATCTTCTGAGAGAAGGAAAGAGAACCTCCACACAGAAGTGTGTGCCATGCTGTGCTGAGTGCAGTGTTCTCTGTGGTCTGTGGATCTGCCTCTCTAGAACAGGCAAAAGCACGGGGTCAGAAGACAGGGGAGCCTGCAGCCAAAAGGCAGACTTGACAAGGGGAAGGGGCATGTAAACATGTTGGTGGCACTCCAGACTGCTCTGTCCAAAGTGCTGGCAATTATACGACCAACCATTTGCCTAATCCCAAGCCACACCTAAAGAGGGTAAACTGACTTTAGAGAGGGGACACTTCCTCCCCTGGTGCTCAGGTAGTCAGAGGGCACACTGTAGGTGTGGGCTCTGATCAGTGCTGCAGAGACCATTGCCTGCTTGAATGAGCCCTGGGGAGAGGGTGAGGGATCCCGTTAAGGCTGGGAAGTGGTGATAGTAGCCAGTGGGAAACAAAAACGGGCCTCCCATCCTCGCCGCATGGGAGGTCTTAGGGCCAGTGTCAGCACCTTTCCGTGGGGTCCTCACCACTTCTGCCTTAGCCCAAGCCTTTTTTCAGTCTTAATAGTAATACTCCTTTGACACACCCTGATCCTTATTAATTCCCAAGGCACCAAAAGTAAGACTAGCCGGAAGACCCGTACTCTACACAGACCTGCGTCTGTGACATGTCTTGCCTCCTGTGCTCGAGAGAGGCTGAACCTCAGCTTTCAGCTCCCTCTCAGCTGCCTGCACCCCTACAGAAGGCTTCGGAGCTGTAATTGATCTTTCTGAGAAGCCAAGAGGTGCTGAACTGGCTTGTCAGGACACTAATAGTGTTATACTGTGAAGCAGGCCATATCCCTCTGGGACAATGGTTCTCAACCTGTGGGTCACCACCGTTTTGGGGGCCGAATGACCCTTTCAAAGGGGTCACATATCAGATATTTATGATTTATAACAATAGCAAAATTGCAGTTATGAAGTAGCAATGAAATAATTTTATGGTTGGGGTCACCACAATGAGGAACTGTATTAAAGGGTCACGGCATTAGGAAGGTTAGGAACACTGCTCTAGAAGCTGTTTGGAGAGAGGATCCCAAAAGCCAGGCTCTGGATGCTTGTTTACCAAAAGGCAATATTATTATGCCCAGAGATGAATAGAGAGAAAGCGAGGGGTAATGCCCAGGAAGGGGACAGTCTGCTGTCCAGTCTCATCCGGTCACTCCACCGATGGCTGGTTACCCGCAGTGGCACCATGCCTGTACCTTTTCACAGTGTACTGCTTCCCTCCTCTCTCTGGGCCGTCCTCTGCTTTCTGCTGCCTCTCACAAGTATAGCAGCTCTGAGAGAAGGCTCACTTCTGAGACAGCCCCTCCCTGCCCCTCACCCCCAGGAGACAGAGTCCAGGGCCAGGCTCTGTTACCAGTGACAGTGCAAGTGCCAGACTGCCTGACACCCTCCAGGCTTCCGTGTGCCTGGGTCTCCCCCGTGTGTCCCCTCCAGGCTTCCGTGTGCCTGGGTCCCCCCGTGTGTCTCCTCCAGGCCTTGCTTGTCTCTGTCCTGGAGTCTGCCCTGGGTTCACCCCATGTGCAGCACCAGTGCAGTCTCAGAGAGCCGAGCTGCACCAGGGCCTAGAGTCCACCCCTCAAGTCCCTCTTCCTCTCCAGGCACCTTTTAGACCTCTCCTGATCTGCTCCCAGAGAACCTGGGTCTCACCAAAGTGCATCTCCTGCGCACTGAGAGCTATCTGAAGCTGCTCACTATCACTCCATGTCTTCTCTAGTAAGCTCTGCATTGTCATGAAATGTCACGCGTGGTTCTCATTTCACATTTGCTGCTGGGGGGCCATTTTTAAGCCACTAACCATTCTCAGGGAGGCAGTGACATCTCCCTGTGTCCAGGTGGGTGTCCTCCTGTGGCAGATGATTTTGCTGTTGTTGTTTGTGTGCCTCTGCAACTTTTGAGAAGAAAAAGAAGGGTGCATAGCAATAAAACACTGAAAAAGAAACACGGTCCTGCCTGGGGTCTTCTTCCTGGTGCTATCTTCCTCAGGACGCAACTGTTTCCTGGCTGGCCCAGACAGGTCCTCTCTGTGTCTCATCCTGCAGGGAGGAGGGCCTTATCCTGTTCATTGATTGTCTCAGTGTTTGGGGAATATAAAACTATCGCAGCCTCCCAAGAGAATCAGTCAGTGAGGTTTATCCTCAAGTGCAGCTGTCAAAGCCAGCACCTCTGCCTCTGCATGCTGGAGGCATTTCCCTTGTTGGGAATCTCAGGACCCCACTCTACAGCATCATCTCCCCCACCCAGCCTTTAGCCCAGACTAAAGGATCCAGACCTCCAGTTCTCAGAGAGTAATGTCATTTGTTTGTTATTTTCCCTGAGATGTGGACCACTCTGTAGCCCAGGCTGTCCTGGAATTCACCAAATAAACCATACTGCTTCAAACTCATGGAGCACCACCTGCCTTAGCCCCAGTTTGGAAGTCATGGGCATACAGCACCATGCCCAGCTCAGCAGTGACTGTCTTCTAGTTGCTGAGCCTAAACTTGGGTTTTCTGTCCTTACAGATCCCTGAAGAGCATGACCTGGAGAGTCAGATCCGCAAGGAGCGTGAGTGGCGGTTCCTGAGGAACACTAGAGTCAGAAAGCAGGCCCAGCAGGTCATCCAGAAGGGTAAGTGCACAGTGCCCCAGAGGAGCAGGTCTTCTGCCAGATAGATTCAGCCCCCAAGGCACCGTGTGTGCTGCCCTTGCAGACCAGCACACTGACTGATAGAGGCAGCTGGGACAGTGTAGTAATAAGAGCAGTGGGGCTGCGTCCCCAGCACCCCACTGCCCACAAGGCTAGCTTTACCTGAAATAATTACACAGAAACTGTATTCATTTAAACACTGCTTGGCCCATTTCTATCTAGCCTCTTCTAGGCTAATTCTCACATATTAATTTGGCCCATTTCTAATCATCTATGTTTACCGGGAAGATTCTAGCCTACGTCCATCCTGGGTCAGTGCTGAATCGCATCTGCCTCAGAGAGCAGAGCTCTCGCGTCCGCCCTGGAGATGGGAGCATGTCATCTCTGTCTGAGGCGTCTTACCTCACTTCCTCTTCCTCCCAGCATTCTGTTCTGTTTACTCCACCCACCTATCTTCTAAGCTATGAGCCCAAGCAGTTTGTTTATTACTTAACCAATGAAATCAACAGATTGATATATGACACTCCCACATCAGGACAGGGGTGGCATGGGGGAAGAGGAGGCCACCTCATGGGGAAGGCTTCTCCTAAAGGACATTCCTGCCCTGGGCTCTCATAGAGGCAAGTCCCGACTAGCTAGTAACCTTCAGAGAAGTATCAGCTCTGCTCTTTGGCATTTCCAGAAGGGGGTGCAGGCCCTTTTCAGGCCCTGGGAGCCCACATCTCACTAACCACCCGGAATGTCCTTGAAGTGACCACTGGCTCCATTTCTCTAAAGCTCAACAGCTGTGCCCTCACCAGACCTTTCCCAGACTTGACAGCATGCCGTGTTTGCCCCCTTCCAGCCTCATGGAGACAGTGTTACTGATTAGCCAAGGACAGTATGGTGCTGCTGTGGAACCCAGGAGCAAGCTCCTGTCGGAAGGTTGTGCAGTGTGTCCCCCAGACCTGGAGCATGCAGGGAACAGGATCATCCCAACTGTGGCAGGAATGAGGGCCATATTACCTCACCCTAAGGCCAGGGTTCTTCATCTACTCTGTTAAGGAGTATAGAGCAAGGCTGCAGTTCCACGGCTCTGATTGCATGAGAAGGAGAGGTGGAGGCCACTTCATGTCTCCAAGTAGTTTTTCTCATAGAAGCAGCCATGGCTGAGGGTCAGTGTGGTCAGTCTGTGGCCTTCTCCCGGTTCCACAAGTCACAGTTTTGATCATACCTCCCTGTCCTCTGAAATTTAGAAAATAATGACCAGTTTTATTAAATTAGGACTGAGCCTCAGAAGACAGACTGTCCCTCCCACTGAAACAGAGGGCCATGCCAGCTTCAGCCCCAGGCCTGCCTCATTGAGTACCTCATTTCCTGCATATCGATGCTTGTGTCCCCGGATCTAAGATGCAGGCCCTTGGGTACCTGTGGCCCTGACACAGTCCCTGCTCCTGCTCTTGGCTCCTCATGGCTCCTGTAGGTGCTAGGGTCTCCTAACTCTGTGTGCAGCGGGTACACACTGTCCACGGCGCCTTCCTAGATAGCACCAGCCCTCTCAGAACCCATGTCCACTGCACTCCCTAGACAGTGTTTCCTTAGGACCCCAGGACTCCAGGCCATGGCAGCTAGGGCAGGCTGATTTCTTGATGCGAGTTTGGAAACTAGTTCAGAAACCAGGCCCACACAGTAAGATGTCTGGGGGGCCTCTTGGTCCAGCTGCAGAGTCAACATTGCCTGGCATTTCTATTCAGAACTGAGGCGTGCATTAGAATACAAAGACAGGTGGGGCTGGGAGATGGCCACACGAGCATGAGGACTGAGTGTGAGCCCAGAGCCCACATAATAGAAGGCTGGGTCCTGCGCTACGTGTCTGTACTTCCGCCACTGTCGAGGCAGACATTGCTGGCTGGCCAGCCTAGCCTAATTGGTGAGCCACTGCCTCAGAGACAGGGTCGGTAGCTGCTGAAGTGGGCCGCAGTGCGTTCTTCCGGTCACCCAGGCTGTGTCTAGATTCAGCACAAGCTTTTCCTTGTTGGACAGCTGAGTTGAGTGTGTGCTGGGAAAGGTGTCAGAAGAGAGGTAGGAAATGATGCCCGCAGACTGGCTGGCACTGACTGCAGAAGTGCGAATCAGGCCAGGAGATGGGAACTGGGAAAGACCCGTTGGCATTCTTCAAGGCCCTGATCATCATTGGCTTTTCCTAAGACCTGGTGACCTGGGCCAGCTGCCACACATTGCTGTTTGCGTGAGTATTTCATCTTCTAGTGCTCAGGACTTCACCATCCTACCAGAGGCCTCAACAAGAAAAACATAGCTAAAGAATGAGGGTACCCCAGGCTAGAGACGCGTGTACCACTGCAAACCTAGGCACCTCCTCCTCCAGCAACACTGCCTTCAGCCATATCCCCAAAGGAACCAAAGGGTAGACGCAGTGTGCAGAGCAGCCCACCTGGCTGAATGGTGTGATTCTTTCAGGGCCACCATCCTAGAGTCCCCTATATAGCAAGGGCACAGACAAGGGGAAAGAGCCTAGCTCAGAGCTACCCACGAGCTGGTGTCTGCCTCTCCATAGGCTCATGTAAGGGCCTTCTGGCTAGACCAGAAAGCTTTCCTCTGTCCACCCAAGAGCTATGACCACTGGCTAAAAAGATGTGTGGTCCCTGAAGCACCCTCCTGGATACCCAGAGGTCCATGCAGGTATCTGGGGCCAAGGCAGAAGGTGCTGTCTTGGTGCTGAAGCTCTGAAATAGTGTGTACTCTGAGGAGACTTTACTGCTCTCCGTACCATGTCCAGCAGAGTCCAGCTGCCTGGACTCCGCATCCTTAGCTGCTTTCTGTCTCTTGAAAAACAAGGAGGGTGTATATTTTTGACTAATGTGTGGGGCCTGGTAAGAAAACCTGTCCTGTGTCCTTCACCCTTGTGATTTCTTGGCTAGCTGCTTTCCAGACTGAAGACCCTGGGCCTTAGCTGGGTCATGAGTGGTGGTAACCACACACTCCTTCATCCTGAAATCCTAGCACTCTCTTCCAACTCAAGTTCTTCTACTCTGCATATTGCTATGAATAGTATAGGAAGCATTGGTCAAATGTATGTCAGTGTCTGCCTCCACCAGGCACTGTGAGACAGCACCAAGCATTTGGATGCACTGAGTTAAAGCCCCCTTTTCCTTTTCCTCAGCGTGTGCTGTCAGCCCTTCTCTCTGGTCCCTGCTTCCCCCTACTTCAGCTCTAGTAAGGCCATGTCAGTGTTGCTGGAGATGAGAACTTGGCTCCGTTATCTCTTGCAGGCATCAGCAGACTGGATGATCAGATCTTTCTGAACAGGAACCCTGGCGTCCCCGCTGTGGTCAAATTCCACCCCTTCACACCATGCATAGCTGTCGCCGACAAGGACAGCATCTGGTAGGCACAGCTTCAGTTCACCCTGCTGTCTTCCCCTCCCCATGGCACCCAATTCTAGACTCACTTGGGCTGCACAGGAGCACATGGGTGACCGAGGAACCCTGAGAGAGAATGGAATTTAAAATGTATCGCAGGTTCTGACCTGGTGTAATGAGGAAACTGCCCACTGTCGCAGGTTCATAGTTTATAAAATGTCTATAGATCTCCCTCCCCAACCCCCTTTCTTTTGTTTTTTAAGTTGTGGTAAACTGTGTGTGACAGGAAACCGGGCATTTTAACCATTTGCTGTCAGTGCACATGCATGCTGTGAAGGCCACCACCACCTCCAGAATGTTCTCCATGCCCCGTACCCAAACCACACAATGGGCACCAGTCCCTCCCCTCAGGTGCCATCAGCACCATCTTTTCCTTGCCTCTAGGGACCTCCTGAGAGTGGACTCCTGCGGTGTCTGTCCCTTGTGACTGTTTTCTTTCTCTTTTATCTCACTGCTCGCTCAGACTGTAGCATTTGTCAGCATTTCCTCCTTCTGGGGCCTGGTGATACTCTGTTGTGAGGCTCTCCCACACTCGCGGCTGTGCAGGGTGCTTAGGTGGCTCCCTTGAGTGCTGGTGTGGACGTACCTGTCGTCCTAGGTCCCTGTGTTCAGTTCCCAAGGAATGTGCGGGTTGGAATGCTGTGCCGGTCTTTGCTGGGGACCACACTGTACCTCCCACCAGTAGCACACAAGCTCCTCACGCTCACTGGCCCGTTCCTCCCACCGGGGTTTGGGTTTCCTTAGTGACTGTCTTTCTGTCATCGCCCTTCTTTCAAGCTTTTGGGACTGGGAGAAAGGAGAGAAGCTGGACTACTTCCACAATGGCAACCCTCGGTACACCAGGGTCACCGCCATGGAGTACCTGAATGGCCAGGACTGCTCCTTGCTGCTGACAGCCACAGGTGAGTCGGACTGGTGTGGCCCTAGGCCTGAGGGGCATCTTTTTTCTGTTTCTCCCTTTTTCATAAAACACTGCTCACCAAGGTTCCCATCATTCTGAAGTGTGACATTTGTGAGGGAAAGGGCTTGAATACAAGGCAAGATGTTGGTCAGGGCTCTAGGACCATCTTTCCACCAAGTGTTCCTGGCCCTTCCATGACCTGGAAATGCCACATCAGCCTCTAACCTCCTAACCTTCATGGGGGATCCACATGGGTCCCCCGGATAACACATGAAAGCCAAGGAGGACATCCTAGGCCATAATGTTCACAAGGGCCCATGCTGCTCCCAACCTTTGGCTTCATGAGCTCCCCTCCTCCCATGACCATGCAGAGGGATTACGGCTCCCAGGCCGGGTCTGTCCATCTTTGCAGGCCAGCTTCCTCTTCCAAAGGTGGCTGAGGAGGGGTGTTTCAGACACAGGAGCGGCTCTCACTCTGTTTTCTTGTTTGGTTTTCCACCTGAAGTAATCATCGTCTCATGCTCACTTTTGAACAGTAGTCTCTGGGTCACTTCCCTAGCTTGGTGGTAGGTGTACTTTTGTTGTTACTTTGTGTTGTGTTCCCTTATTTAAGACATCCTCACATGTAGCCCAGTCCAGCCTCAAGCCCACTCTATAGCCAGCGATGACCTTGAACTCTGACCCTCTTGCCTCTTTCTCCCAAATTCAGGGATTACAGCCGAGTGTACCCTGCCCCATGCATTAACACACTGCTGTGACCTGACCCAGGGCTTCCCCAGCCACAGCTGTTTTAGCCCTCTGACAACACAGGTCCTGGATCGGGGACCGTTTGGTGGTAGAGGGCTTGCCTGGCATTACAAGCCCCACATAAACTACGGAAAGAGAATCACACCAGCACCATGACCTCCTGCTGGTGAGAAGCTGCTGTCAGGTCGGAAGGTGGTGGCAAGGCTAATAGAGGGGCCCTGAGCCCACAGTCCCAGGCTTCTCCGTCCTCATCCTGGGCCTGGACTTGGTTTCTACACCACTTGAGACCACTGATAATCCCTGTATATGACTTACAAATATATGGCTTATGTTCACACTTCAAAGGGGAAACTACTCCCGGAAATTAATCTGACAGCCGTACAGTCCAGCCCTGAGTGATGCAGTGACACCAAGGGACTCAGATAGCAACTGGAGGTGGCACAGGTGGGCCTCCAGTCCAGTAGCCCAGCAAGCAGCAGGCTGCCGCATCCACATCCACTGCTAGGGAAGGCCAGGGAGTGGCTGCTGGCTTCCTGCAGAGCTGGTCACAGCTGCGGTCATGCTCATCCAGCTCGACCAGTGTGCAGAAACTCAGCGGTCACCGGGATCAGAGCCCGGAGGTGCTGTTGGGATGTGGTCACCGGAAGGGTCCTTTGTGACGAGTCCCATGGCTCTTGTGTTGAGGCACATTGGAGACCCGTGTCTGCCGAGCTGCTGGAGTCTAGGCTTTCATGATCTGGAAGACAGTTTAGTCCCTGCTCCTTAGTGGTATAGGCTGCCTTTTCCCAGGACTTTGGGAACATTGCTTACACCCAAGCGTCCCCTTCAGTGTCAACACGGTCGGCATCAGTTAGGGTGCTGAGCGTGAGTGCCTTCATCTTGTTTTCTTGTTTGTTTTGTTGTTGTGAGTGTCCATCTCCTGTTTCAGTGAAGACATACGGCCCTAAAAGTCTGTCTAGCCAGAGTCACCTCAGGACCCTCAGCACCAGTGCTGTCCAGGAGCGACCTATACACAGTGGGGCTGCAGACCCTCAGGGCACAGCTAGGCCTTCAGGAGAGTTCAGGGTCAGACTGAGATTCTCAAGGCACCAAGGGGGAGGAAGTAGAGAGAAGAGGAGGAAAACGAAGGGGAACAACATCAAAGTGCTGGAGTCCTTTGACTCAAGAGAGACGCTGTGGAAGGGCCTCCTCCTTTCTAAGCCTCTAAAAGCAAGGCAGACGGGGGTCTCACGTGTTTTGGTCTGGTGAGCCAAGCAACTGTCCTCTCTAACCTTAGGTCAGGCTGATAAGTGTGCAGAACACCAAGGGCAGTGTGGACAAGGATGAAGGCCCCAAAGATTTGTCCTCTGGAAAACTAAGTCTCACACACTGAGGGACTGGACCAGACAGGAAGAGTGAGGAAGTGATCCGGCTCTCACCCAGCTTCCATCTCTAAGAGAGAGCGGGACATGCTGCTGCTGGCTCTGGGAAGAAGTGGCCATGCAGCCAAGCCACTGACCTGTGGCCTGTGGTTTCCAGTGCTGGGGTCTACCATGGACCCATCTCCCTGTACAGCTCTCTCTCCTGGTCACCCACATCAGCACAGCAGGGCCAGGCATCCAGAACCCTGCATCTGTGTCTTAGAGATAGGGTGGACACACCTCTAGGGTACAGGCTCATACTGTTTTTCTCCTTCCCTAGACGATGGTGCCATCAGGGTCTGGAAAAATTTTGCTGATTTGGAAAAGAATCCAGAGATGGTTACTGCATGGCAGGGGCTCTCAGACATGCTGCCAACAACACGAGGTGGGTCAGCTCGTAGACACACTACTGGGGAAGGCCATCCAGATGGTCAGCTCGTAGACACGCTACTGGTAGTATCAGGTGGGCCTTTGGCTCCTCGGGAGAAGGCCATCCAGAACTGTGGAAGACATTTCTGATGCCTCCAGGATACCCATTTTGAGTTTCCAAAAGCATCCTGTGATCTCCCCTGGAAACCACAAGAATAGGTAACACTCCAGGATTCCAATGCTCTCAGTTTGCCCGAGTTGTAGGCAGCCCTGCACATGGCCACATATGGCTTAGGAAAGCACGGCTGCTGGCTCCGCACGAAGGCAACATGGCGACCTCCTTGTGTGTGCTTCTTCCTGTCTCGGGGAGAAGTCCGGCCACACTCCCACCTGCCTGGGCTGGTGAGACCTGTGGTCTCCTTGTAGAAGTCTAAGCTGACTGAGATGAGGAATGAGTGAAGCCCAGAGGGTGCTCAGGGAGTCAGGCTTCAGGAGGTGTCCTCTCCGTAGGCAGGTGCCTCCTGCAGCACTGACAACCGGGGTGACCTAGCTCCTACCCCATGGCTTCTGCTGAGTTAACATTCCATGGTAACTGCATGTGCTCTACCAGGAGCTTGAGCTTACATCTGTTGCCTTAGGTACCTTGGGTATAGAGGCTTGCTTTGTAAACACTGTGCTTGATGGAGGTCCATGCCCATGTGGAGAGAGGGACCTTTGGAGAATTCCTAAGAGCTGAGTCAAGTTGCCCACTGGCCATCCTCCTGCCTCAGTCCCTCAGTAGCCAGGATGACGGGCACATGTCACTGCACTTAGCTGAGAGCTCATTTCCCTGTGTCTGTCTGCTTTTCATCTCCATTTTGGTAGTCAGGACATTCTCCTCGGTGTCTTACTCAGTGCTAGCATACAGGCGGCCTTGGCCTGTATAGAATCCCTGCTTTTCCTAAGAACTAGGACCTTGATGTCTGACTTGGCCTGGAGGCCACTGAAAGGTGATATGCTAAAGCTGTATTTGGTGGACAGAGATTCTGAGTCTTGTGACACAGTTCCTGGGGTGAAGTGTGTAAGGTCCTAGGAGAGCACGGTGCTCATCTGAATGTTATTGCACCAGCCTTGCCTTACGTGAGTGAGAGGGATGCCCAGGATGGCCCATCCTGTCCCTGTTTCTCCAGGAGCTGGCATGGTGGTAGACTGGGAGCAAGAGACTGGTCTGCTCATGAGCTCAGGAGACGTACGCATCGTCCGAATCTGGGACACTGATCGTGAGACGAAAGTGCAGGTAACACTCCAGCCCTGCTTCATAGCCCAGTTCCCATGATACCACAGAGTAGACCTTGTCCCTGCTTCATAGCACCAGACGCCTGAGCTCCCACAGTAGATCTCATCCCTGTCATAGCCCAGAAGCCCGAACTAACACTCCAGCCCTGCTTCATAGCCCAGACACCCGAGCTAACACTCCAGCCCTGCTTCATAGCCCAGACGCCCGAGCTAACACTCCAGCCCTGCTTCATAGCACCAGACGCCCGAGCTAACACTCCAGCCCTGCTTCATAGCCCAGACGCCCGAGCTAACACTCCAGCCCTGCTTCATAGCACCAGACGCCCGAGCTCCCAGAGTAGACCTCGTCCCTGTCATAGCATAGATGCCCGAGCTCCCACAGAGTAGACCTCGTCCCTGTCATAGCACAGTTCCCATGATCCCAGAGTAGACCACGTCCCTGTCATAGTATAGACACCCGTGATCCCACAGAGTAGACCTCGTCCCTGTCATAGCACAGTTCCCATGATCCCACAGAGTAGACCTCGTCCCTGTCATAGCACAGACACCCGTGATCCCACAGAGTAGACCTCATCCCTGTCATAGTATAGGCGCCCGTGATCCCACAGAGTAGACCTCGTCCCTGTCATAGCACAGACACCCGTGATCCCACAGAGTAGACCTCGTCCCTGTCATAGTATAGATGCCCGTGATCCCACAGAGTAGACCTCGTCCCTGTCAAAGAGAACCAAGACAAGCGCACTCGGTGACTGCTGCCCAGCTGTTTGTCTGCAGGGAGACAGACAGGAGATGGCATCTTGCTGGCAGGCGACAAGCTAATCTCCTCTGGCTGCACAGTGATTACGGCTTTTGACCCTTTGACCCTGCATTACAGTGTAATTAAGCCTGTGCTGATCCAAATATTGTTTCTCTGTGCAGATTAGGGAATATCAGAAATCAGTCGGGTGAAATATCTTAAATGAGAACAGCTAATTGTTTGACCGTCTGCTTCCTTACCCTGTGGTGCTGGGCACAGAAGGCAGGGCTTCGTGTGTGCCAAATATCTCCCCGGGCTGCCGCTGGGTTAGAACTCAGCCCCTCACTTAAACCATCTTTCATTTTCAAGATTGTTTGTTTGTTTTTGAGACATAATATTACTATGTAGACCAATCTGGCTCCAAATTTTCCATTTTAATAGAGTGCATTGGTTTTGCCTCTGATACCAGGACTTCTTTGCCAGAGTCCAGTTGTACCTATGTCCTTTGGATCCAAGGCAAAATCACAGCTACTGAAAGGACATCACGTAGGTAGCCAAGGGATAGCTGTATCCCGGTGTCAGAGCCTGTCCTCAGTGTTCTCCAGCCTGCCCTGCCAAGGTGGGGCCTGGACAGCTGTGGGCATCTCTGCAGAGCAAAGGGCAGAGGCCGGCAGGAATGATAAGAATAGGCATGATTTGAGGCCTGTCCTTCCATGGTCTCCTCAAGCCCCACAATGCCACCAAACAGTTGAAGTAAAACACTGTCTTCCAGGGTCTCTGCTCATATGGGGAGATAGTGCCTGATTGTTCCTACTTCTGGGGGGCTGTGTGGGACCCTTGGGGTCCCTGCAGGTACAGTGCCTCTTTGGGTGTCATTACATCGCTGCAAAGGAGGGAACGTGGCTCTTTCACAGCTCCCCACCCCCACTCCCATGAGTTCCTCTTGGGCTCCCCCGTCTTTCCCTCTGAGGCCCATTCCCAGCTCCCGTTCCTTCTTGCTCCCATTCATCACCCCCCTGCCCTTCTGCAGTATTTACAACACCAAGGGGAGCAGAGAAGCAGTTCCTCAGCTCTTCCCTGACTAATTAGGGGTTTGAAGAGAGCGCTAACGAGACTCCCTCCCTGCCAAAATGTGCTTGTCTTTCTTTTCAGGAAAGGGGGATGTTGCTGGAAAGTTTAATTGGCACTGAGAGCAAGGCATCCCCACAGTTCTCTTCCCGACTGTGCCCAGGCCCGGGCTCACAGGCTCTGCTCTGGCCTATAGGCACTCAAGCTGATGGGGCATGCCTGCTGCCCTGCAGCCCTGCTCCTCTGGCCTCTGCTAGCCTTGTAGGGAGAGACCTGTTCTTAGCCTGAGGGAAGTGGGTGTGGCCAGCTGGAGGCCCCTCCTCCCTCCTCACCGCTCTTTTTGGGCTTAGGACATTCCCACGGGTGCCGACAGCTGTGTGACAAGTCTGTCCTGTGACTCCCACCGCTCGCTCATTGTGGCTGGCCTGGGCGATGGCTCCATCCGGGTCTACGACAGGAGGATGGCACTCAGTGAATGGTAACCGCCACACCTCCCCTCTCCTCAGTGCTGCTCAAGCTCCTTCCAGATGGCAGAGGCCACCCCACTGCCAGCGAAGGGTCAGCAGTTCACAGTGGCGCTCTAACCACAGAGATGCTTCATGGGCCAGCCTTCACCCTCCTCTGCCGGGCTTGTGGGTCCATTCTTCATCCTTGCCCGGCACCCAGTCATCTCGCAGCCCTGTGTCCTGCCTCCCAGAGAGACCTCCACACAAGCTGACCCCACAGAGACAGAGGAACAGTGTGGCCTTCTCACTAAGCTGCCGTCTAAGGCAGGGCTAGTAGGCCTTCCTCAGCCCAAAATGGCACCCAGACTTGAAGGCAGACTGGGGAATTGGAGGCTGGACGGATGAGGGGAGTGACCTAGTACAGCCTAGCTAGTGGCTCCAACCTGAGTTTCCTTCTGGGCTCTGCCCAGGGACAGGGCCAGGTCCAGTTTACACCCACTTCTCCTAGCCCTCCCTGAGCAGTGTGGGAAGAGAGACTGGGCTGGGCCAGTCCTGACTGCACCTTCCTCCTCTAGCCGAGTCATGACTTACCGGGAGCACACAGCCTGGGTGGTCAAGGCCTACCTGCAGAAGCACCCTGAGGGCCACATCGTGAGTGTGAGGTAAGGAGCAACAATGCAGAAGACATTTGCTGGGAAAACATTATTTTCCCTCCGTTTAAATATGTCCTTGATATTCAAACAGCTAGGGGCTGTGGCATTTCAGGGCAGTAATTGACTCTGCTCTGCAAGTGGCCAGAAAGGTCAGTGTACAGAGCAAGAGGGTGCGTGTGTGTGTGTGTGTGCATGCGTGTGTATGTGTGTGCACGTGTGCGTGCGTGTGCACACACACGCACCAGGAAGTCTGAGCTGAGCTGAATAAGATGAGCAGGCAGGTGTGTCCCTCCTGTATGCACAAGGGTAGCGGGTCAACACGCACCTGGCAACACGTCCCCAGCAGGCTGGCTGCCCCAGCAGACTGCCTTGTCGCCAGCCAGCCTCTGCACATAAATCCAGCCTGCCACTCAGTAAATACCTTGCTGAGAGCCGCGCATCTTTATCTGCCTGTTAAAGAGACAGCAAAGCGTGATTTACTATTGCGAAGCCACATCCTTCAGAGTGATGCTCTTCCCCCGTCTATAGCATAAGCCTGGGTGGGGCAGCCTGGCCTCCCTATGGGCCTGGGCATCCACCAGGCTCCCTCTGCCCTCATGGGCTCCACTTCATCAACTCCAGCCTCTGTGGCACTCAGCTCCTGCCCTTGCTCGTAGCCTTTTCTCTGACCCTGCTGTGTCCTGCTTTGAGTGAGCACAGCAGCTATCTTTGGTGTCAGTCCTGGCTTTTCCAGCTTAGGAGGGGGTAGCTTGATAGGAGCCCTGACTGCCATAGCCAGTAGGATAGCAGGATGGGGGCTGTGAGCACCACCTGGGAGGCCCTTGGTAGGGGCCCTGGGAGTCTACATGGCTTTGGCCTTACCAGCACGACACTTCACATGGCAAGCGCCACCGTCCCCGGGGCCCCAGGAGTGTACCTAGTCCCACAGCGAGCCTGACTGTGGCCTCCTTCGCAGCGTCAATGGAGATGTGCGCTTCTTTGACCCTCGGATGCCCGAGTCCGTGAATGTGATGCAGATCGTGAAGGGACTGACAGCCCTCGACATCCATCCCCAAGCAAACCTGATCGCCTGGTAGGTACCCTGCCTCCATGCAGCCCCTGCGTCTGAGCAGAGTACCCTGTCAGCGCGCACAACGCTTGAGCTCTGTCCTCACGGTGCCTTTGGAGGAGGACGACTTAGAGGTGTAACTGTGCTACCGTGAAATAAAAGCAGGGACTCTCCAGGTACCTTCTCTAGCTGTGAGAGCAAACACCCGCCCTCAAGGCTTCTCTGGGGACAGACCTCCCTTACTGAGAGTAACAGAGGAGTAGCCTCTTCCTACCTCAGGGTGACATACAGGTGGACCTCCTGGCCTGTGTCCCATTGCTGCAGCCCCCTTGGCCTGTCTTCCTCCCAACCACAGGAAGACAGAGGCTAATGTTCTGGCATCTCTCCCTCCACAGTGGCTCCATGAACCAGTTCACAGCCATCTACAACGGAAACGGGGAGCTAATCAACAACATCAAGTACTACGATGGGTTCATGGGTCAGCGAGTCGGGGCCATCAGCTGCTTGGCTTTCCACCCACACTGGGTACCTGCTGCCTTCACTCACGGGTTCTGGGGAGGTGGGAGAGGAGTCCAGTGGTGGAAACCCTTCCCAGCTCAGGAATATAAAGAGCTGAGATAAGCCTGGGTTCTCCAGAAAACCATGCCCTGACCCCTAGGAACCAAACTCAGTTCTTAATGCGCAGGTAAGAATAGACAGCGCAGAGGGAGACGCAGCTGGTGTCCCTGGGCCCCTTTCCATAGCTGGAGTCACTCATGTGGACTGTTAGGTTGGTTAGGATTTTGCAGAGTGCATTTCACTCTGCTGAAGTGCACAGCATCAGATTCCAGAACTGTCCCAGTGGGGCGATCCTGAAAAGAAGCTGCAGGGAATTGTGGGTAGTATGCAAATTGCCTGTAATTGAATTTGGATGATACATCATCCTGCTAGAATCCGGCAGTTAATGGCCTTCATTCCTGTGCCTGTGTGGAGTTCAGAGGGGTTATGGTAGTTTGTGCCTCCCGGCTAGAGCTGGACACAGCATACAAGCAGCCTGCTCCCTTCCCCTCACCCCACACTGTAGCTCCCATCGTAGCTGAGACCTGGCTCATGCCTTCGCTCGTTTGCTCTCTCCGCAGCCTCACCTGGCAGTAGGAAGCAACGACTACTACATCTCTGTGTATTCGGTGGAGAAGCGCGTCAGATAGCGGCACCCGGGACTCCCGCCAGGCTGCAGCCACCCTCTGCTGTACATAGTGAACCAAACCGCACTGCTTGGGTTGCAGTGCCCACCCACCTACCCGCCCTGCAAACCCTGGCCGACTGAGGAGGGGGCTCGCACTTCTTCCTGTCTGTCCTCACTGTAATGTACAAGTCCAGAGCAGGGGAGGGTTTGACGCTGCTTCCTGTCAAGAACCAGCACCCAGGCCCCAAGGACCTCAGGATGTGTCTCAGTGCATCGTGGTCCTTCTGTCCTGCTTCCTTCTGAGGTTTTACAAAGGATACATTGGTTTTTCCATGCGGTCAAAGCATTAGTCGCAGGACAGGTGGAGCCCTGTAGAAAAGCTGCATTGGGGCTCCTGAGAGCCATGCCCAGCCCCACTGTCCTCTCAGCAGTGTGGACAGGAACCCCTCAGAGTAGGCTGGGCAATGCTGGGAAATGGAAGAAAGTGACTGAGGGAGGAGAGGGGAGGCCTCTCCTGCTACCCAGTGTGGAAGTCTGAACCTAGCCCTCCTAGGGCACTGAGGCAGCCCAACACACCCACCTCATCACGGGGTACATTATGCTGGTGTGAGAAAGGGGCCCCCTTCCTGCACAGCTAGTCTCCGAGGTCACAGGCAAGGGCTGTTGTGACTCTGCACAGACGAGGCAGATGTGTAGAATTAGCTGTTGCCTGCACCTGACGTGCTTCTCTCCCGTAGGGCAGTAGCCGTGGCCACAGCCACACAGGGCACACACGCATGCAGCCACACAACCTCCCCATCCATGCCCAAGCACATGTGGGTGCCCTGGTCTTCCTATCTGTGCGCACTTAGGGTGCACACACGTGCAGGCTCACAGTCTCCCCTCCTGCACAGGTGTGGGCACTGTGGCCCCCTGCAGGTGTCGTCATGCTGACCTCACGCTCGTCACACACGGTTCAGAGGCTGCACTGGACCCCAGAGGCGTGTGAGCAGCAGCAGCCCTGTTGATGGTGTAATCTGTGATGTGGAAGAGCTTCTCAGCAGTGTCTTTGTGCACACACAAGTGAGGGCCGTGGACATTGCAGCCCTGCGTGGAGCACAGCACTGCTGAGGAGCTGCACACAAATGGGCACTGCACAGTAATGATGTTTTAAAAAGCATTTTCCGTTTTCCCTGGGAATCAGGATCTTTCAGAGGAGGACAAAGTGGCGTAATCAGTTCTGCCAATAGGAGTCCAATGTCCAGGCTGGAACAGTCAGGGCAGAGGCTGGGTCCCTGCGCTGTGCTCTGTTTTAGTCGAGAGCATCGTCCATGTGAAAGGATCTCTGCAGGCAGTGCTGGGCTGAACACAGGGCCAGGTGGGGCCGGACAACAGGACAGAAGGGGCTCCGGAGGAAGACAGCAGCCTGGAGTTGGGAAGGCCTTAGAACCACCCGACACAACCAGTAGCCCACCTGCCCAGTTCTGCAGAGCGCTCCAGTGGGGGACACGCCGGGACCTTCCAGCAGCTGAACTCCAAATGTGGTCCAGCTCAGTCCCTGTCTAACTGGGGGTTCTGTCTTGACAGCACGGGGCCTCCCTTCCCTGGTGGAGCTGCAGAGCTTGCATCTTGCCCAGGGGCTGGGCCTTCACTGGTCTGATGGGAAAACTCAATCATGAAGCTAACCAAGGCTGGAGAGAGCACTGGCCTAGAGTTCATTGTCTCTGCTCATTTCTCCAAAAGGAGAGCTGAGAGGACTGACCAGACATGGAGCTGCAGGGAGGCTCAAAGCAGTGACAAGCAGCAAAGTGTTAATAAAGAATAAAGCCGTGAGAAGAGACTGTGCCCCTGAGAGCCGAGAGTGGGAGGGGCTGGGCCCCAAAGAGTGTGCAGTCATAGCTTTGCATTCCCTGGTCCCCTGGGGTGGGGTGGGAGTCTTGCCCATGACAGGGCCACTGCACTAGCCCTCCTGAGCCTGGGTAAAACGGAAGAGGTGGTGGTTGCCATGGATACCTTGCGGCATCGTGACTGGGGTTTCTCTGCTAGCTCAGGCTTGTCATTAATAAGGTTGCCTGCATTTACACAGACCAGCTTCACATGTTCGTTCGTGCCCATTTTTCTGTTAACATTGCTGCCTCTCTGGGCAAGACCACGTAGTGCAGAGGGCGGGTAGGTGAGCGGTGTACAGCCAGTCCTGGGGAAGAGAGGCCGCCGGCTGTGTGGTCCTGTGAGGGGCCAGCAGCAAACTAGCTATGGGTCCAAAGGCCCAGCGCTCCTCCAGGCCAGACACCCCAGCCCTCAAGCAAGTGTGAGGGCATAATCTGCCCACTGCACACTCCTGTGTCCCCATCCTCCAAAGATGGCTCATGGAGGCCAGAGGAATTGGCCTTCTGGATCATACTGATTTGATTACTGGTCTGGTCAGAACCCACGTGTTTACAGAAAGCAGACTGGCACCTCAGATGTGGAGGGCAACGAGGATGACCTCAGAAGGCCATGGAGGAGGAGGACCGGGCCCAAAGGACTGCCATGTCTCTCCCAACCCATATGTTGAGACTCTGATCCCTCCCTCACAGCACTTCACAGGCCATCAGTGACAGCTGTCCCTGTGGGAAGAGAACAGGACCCAGACCCATCGGGAAGGCAATGTGCAGGCACAGGGAGACATCCTGTCTCAGGAGGAGAAGTCTGGACACACCCAGGCTTGAGACTTTGCCCTCCTAAGACTGCTTACCCAGTGTCAGGCGTTGTCAGTATTGACGGCCATAGTGGCCTGGTATGCTAATGTTGCTAGCACTTCCAATCAGCATCCTGCCCTTGGCGCTCGCTCCGGCCTTCCATCCACCCATGTCCCTTAGAAGTCGGGCAGTAATTGCAGGTGGTATGGTACCCGGGAAGTGTCTGTGGATTTTGTGTGGAAGAGCCTTTAACATGATGCAGCCAACAGCATCCTGTGGTCCTGGCGCCAGCCAGAGCTGGGTCTGTGCTTCCTTGGCTAGGAGAAAGAACCTCTGTCCACAGCTGGCCTGCCATGGCCTCCCTGTCCAGTGACCCTCAGACACCACTGCTCTGCGACCACCCGAACCCAGGACTCTGTGCCCCGACCTGCCCTGCTCCCTCCTTTAAAAAGGAGCCTTACTCATCATCCCAATGCTGCCTGGGCCTAAGAACAGACCCCACACTGGGAAGATGATGGTTCAGTCCATGAGTGCCCTGCACACCGTGACATGGGCCACAAGAGTGGTGAGCTGGGCAAGAGCCGTGAGAACATGTCACCTGTGTCCTGGCATGAATCGAAGGGCCCTTCACACTCTACCCACCCTCTTCTGAAGTTGTCCATGTTACCATGAGATAGGCCCTCCAAGGTGACAGGAAAGTCTGCTCCATCCCAGCCCGCACCCCTCCCTCACATGGCAGGACTATAGCAAATTCAAAGCAGACCAAGGCTCCACTAGAGTTTCAGGGACCCGAAGTTACCATGACAGCCCCTAAACACCCTCAAGCCTGGTGTACCTGCTGGGCCCAAGAGTCCAAAATCCCCGGGGGTTCAGCATTGTTGACAATCAAGTGCCCCTCATATGTAGCCAGGAAGGCTACCAACACCTGGGCAAGCAGAACTGACAAATCGGGGAGGGCAAAGCAGCTGACGATTTTACAGCCCTTCTCTAGTAGTGCTGGGCATCCAGCTCTCAAGAGGGAGTGTGTAGAAGCCTTTACCCAGGAGGCAGGCTCAGGGTGACTGACCATAGAGACAGGATCTACAGTCTCAGACCTAAGGGGCTAGAACTCCCTGCAGAGCACTGAGGGTTCTGACGCCTGGTGGGGGCAGGGCAGAGAGAGGTGATTCTTGGGGTTTGCCTCACAGATTCATCCCTCTGCCTGCAGGCTGAGCCCCAATCCTTTGCAGAATAGTATGAATAAGGAGGTATCACCAGCTGCCTCATCCACAGAGGGACAGCTGCTCAGCCTCAGGAAGCTGCTGCCCCGGGCCACCTGTATCACAGTAGGGATGAGATAAAATCATCCCAATCACTGTCAAAAGCCCACTGTGAGCTGGGTGGTAGTGGCAAAGAGGCCAGCCTGGTCTACAGAGTAAGTTTTAGGACAGCCAAGGTTACACAGAAAGACCTTGTTTGGAGGGGGGAGAGCGGGGGGGGGGGGGTGGCACTGTCTTGTATGAGTCAGGCTAACACCTGTGGATGGAGAAGAGGCCAGCAGCCCTGTCCTCACGGGAGACAAGGTGTCCCAGAGAGCTTACACTATCAGGGAAGGGTCTAAGTGGCTGCATACAGGACAGGAAGGCCCAGAGTAGTCCCGTGCTGTGGCATGAGCTGCCAAAGGAGAGGAGGTCTACGGGCTGGGATGGCCCTCTCCCCCAGTTTCCCAATGATGCTCTTCTGTGACCTCAGCCATCTGCAGGTCCCACCCTGTAGCCTCCCCTTCCCTATTCTGGCTCTGCAGAGGAAGAAGCCAGCCAGCGTCCGGAACACACATTGTGTGTATTTGTTTTTCTACTTAATGAAGGTGGTTGGGAGGGGAGCAAGTGACACAGCAACAAAGCAACCTGAAAAGAAGATTAAGAAGCCAGTTTCACTTACAACAATGAGATTTTCAGAAATGAAAACGATTGGAGATTGGTATAAAATTATTACAAAACATTCAAGAACCCCGAAGACCAGAGTAGATGGGAAGATGTCCCATATCCATGGATCATAAGAGCTAACGTTGGCTGGGGTGACTCGTGGGTAAGAGTGGTGTGCCCGCATCACGGGACCCCAAGCAAGACCACCACAGAGCCAGTTTCTGATGCAAACACACTGGGGTTTATTGATTACAAGTTAGCTAACGCCTCACTCCAACACAGCGGGTGGGGGAAAAACAGGCCTGAGCCCTCAAGGTAAGGGGTTTTTAAAGGGAAAAACCACAGGCAAGGTGACACAAACTTTGGCCTTTTGGGATTGGGAAAAAGTATACAACTTTTTTATTTATTTATTTATTTATTGGTTTTTCGAGACAGGGTTTCTCTGTGGTTTTTGGAGCCTGTCCTGGAACTAGCTCTTGTAGACCAGGCTGGTCTTGAACTCACAGCGATCCACCTGCCTCTGCCTCCCAAGTGCTGGGATTAAAGGCGTGCGCCACCACCGCCCAGCTCAACTTTTTTTTTTAAAGATTTATTTATTTATTTATTTATTATGTATACAGCATTCTGCCTGCGTGTATGCCTGCACACCAGAAGAGGGCACCAGATTTCATCATAGATGGTTGTGAGCCACCATGTGGTTGCTGGGAATTGAACTCAGGACCTCTGGGAAAGCAGCCAGTGCTCTTAACCTCTGAGCCATCTCTCCAGCCCCCTAAAGTATACAACTTTTAATTGGTTGGGTTAAAGGGAAACTTTTAAAACAGCGGTCAATCAGATCCCTAAAGGATGTTCAGAGCAAGTAGATGTAAGCAGATGCTGTCTGGATATCCTGGTGGGTCAGGGTAACCAGGGCAGGCACAGTTTCTTGGGAATGTTTATGACTTTGCTGGGTGACATTCACCCCCCTAGTTAGGTCCTGTCAAAATGGAGTTGGTTCTGCTCCTTCAAGAGCACCTACCAAGCTGTACATGGCACACATCGGTAGTCCCAGAATTCCTATGGTGAGATAGCAGAAACCAGAAACTCTCAGAAGGTCATGGGCCAGCAAATAGCGAACAAGACACTGGGGCGGGTGTGTGTGTGTGTGTGTGTGTGTAGACCACACCTAAGGTTGTCCTCTGACTTCGGCTATCACGTCTGTACCCATAGTCACATGGAAGTGCACATGCTAGCCCACAAGTGATAAGAAAGTTTTCAATAGAGCAATCAGCCCACAGGGCTGGAGAGGGTGTAGCAGTAAGAACACATTCTGCTCTTGCTCTTCAATCCCAGTTGTGTCCGAAGGCTAACAGCTGCCTGTGGCAAGCTCCAGGGGAGCCCTGTCTTCATTGCTTTTCCTTGTATGCAGATATTGACACACATAATCAGAAATAAATCTTTGTAGAAAGTTCTTTTTCTTTCTCTGTAGCCTTGGAGCCTGTCCTGGAACTTGCTCTGTAGGCCTCAAACTCACAGAGATTCACCTGCCTCTGCCTCCTGAGTGCTGGGATTAAAGGTGTGCGCCACCACCACCTGGCTTTAAAAGTTTTTTTGTTTTTTTTTTTTTTTTAGTTTTTCGAGACAGGGTTTCACTGTGGTTTTGGAGCCTGTCCTGGAACTAGCTCTTGTAGACCAGGCTGACCTCGAACTCACAGAGATCCGCCTGCCTCTGCCTCCCAAATGCTGGGATTAAAGGCGTGCGCCACCACCGCCCGGCGGCTTTAAAAGTTTTAAAAGCAGAAAATCTCCTTACATTGAAGAACTATCAAGCCCCCAAACAACCAGAACAAAAATGAGGAATTAGAAGATTAGCATTTCTCAATTGAATATTTGTTACAAAATTGCAGTATGCAAAACGTGTTGCTGGAATACGAGTCAGAGTTACAGACCAGTGGACTAGGACAGGGACAAGACCGTTGAGCGGGTGACGAACAGTCTTCAGGCTGGGTGTGGTGGCTCAGGGACAAGACCGTTCAGCAGGTGACGAACAGTCTTCAGGCTGCGTGTGGTGGCTCATGTCACTCAACAGGATGAAGAAGGAGGCCTGCCATAGTTTTCAGGCCACCCTGGTCAGAGTGTGAGACCCTGTCTAAACAAAGATGACAGAACCCAGACAGGATATCAATGCCCATGATCCCTGGCTTCAAGAAGATTGCGAAGGTCATAGAAGACAATATCCACAGAATTGAACAGGATGTTTGTAAATCATGTCTCTGATA